TATAGCCAAAAGTATATAATAACTACACCTTCCACGTGGCAGATTCCCCACGTCAGCGTCAGTTGAATGTCTCGATTGCAAGCTGCACTCGTCACTCGATAATGACGCTACTGGGAAAGGGAGCCATTCTGTTTAAAATAGACTGGCAACTACATATAGCTACTGCAACCTGCTAGTTTAACAATGGGGGAGATTACGGAACGCATAGGATGACGCATTCCAACCCGTCATGCTCTCATGCTCCACCCCCATGTTGACCACGTGTCCAGTCCAAGTCCGAGTCCGAGTCCGAGGAGATAGAGATGAGTAGGAAATTGATAAACTTGCATTGGCATGATATGAATTTTGATTTTACAACCGAGAGAGCCATTTGGCCCTGAGCAATTGAGTGGGTGGGTCTTGAATTATGGCCATTATGTGCTCCGAGGGATGTGCAGCTGCGAATCTAATCAACAGCAATGGCTCTCAGAGTAGCACTTCCCCACCAAGGACAATGGTTCCATCCTTGACGGACAATCCAGACTTACAGGCATGGCCAAAATGCACACAAAAATAGGGAACCAATTCCACAAGCCACAAATTCAAGCGAGGGGGTAATACCATTTACTTTCAGTTGAAAAATGCATAACAATAACAACAATAAGAATAACACTTTCGAGAAACAAAATACTTGTCGGAATGGCAACTGGACAGGAGGGGGGGCATTTAAAGGGCATTTTGGTCTTGGCCAGGATGGTCAGGATGTCAGCGACAGGGTCTCTGTTACGGTGGCAGCTGCCACGGACACTAAGCGCCCAGCAGGAGCAGGAGCTGTAACAGCCATGTGGCAGCAGTACATGCCACAGCAGCAGCAACTGCAACATTGCAGCAGCAACATCTGCAATAATCTGCCACAGAATGCGTAAGTTGATGAATTAATAGTTCTCAAGACCTAGTCACTATTAAATATTAAGAAATTACTTAAAAAATTTGTATTTGCTTTAAATTTAATGGGGCTTATAGTTTTGAAATTAAAAATATAGGAATTTAAATTTATTCTGGGCTTAAAAAATTATTATTTTTGGATAAAGTTTATTGGAAAATATAAACAAAAAGAAAGAAGACTGCATATATTTAAAAAAATAGTCCAACATTAATAAATATTTGTAATCTTGTAAACTTTAAAAATTAATATTTTATTTAGACTTATTTCAAATTCATATTTAATATTTAGTATTAAGGACACGCTTGGTCTAGCTTTGAGGTATTATTAGGGTATTATTTAAGTAATTGTAGAAACGGGCACACTTAAGTGATACTTAAGCAAGCAAGAAGTGCGTTAAGGTTTCAAAAATAACCTAAATTAGCTAAATTCATTACCATTTATTTTTAACGAATTTTTAAATTTAAAAAAAAAAAACAGAAATAGAAACCTTCAAACTTAAAGTAAAGCTTTAATTAATATTTTGCTTCAAATTCTCCTAATTACTAGAAGCTCTTCAATTAAAACCACTTAAAAAACAAAACTTAAAAACCTTACATTAATATAATTATTTAAAAACATTGAAAAACATTAAAAAAAGAAAAACAATCCAAATTACAAACAATAACCCAAAATAATACCCCCCCCTATCAGCAGAAAGTCAATGTACTGATTATGGAAAAAAAAATAACTTAATCGAGAAAAACATAAACAAAACACGAAAATACAAAAAATACGAATAATATATATAATGTTTATACTATATAGAATGTTAATTATACCTTTTGTGTGACCTTTGGGAAAAATGAAAACACTGCCAATCCGGCAATCAGTTTGTTGACGCACTTTACAAATTTTTGATGCAAAAATATATACCGATTCTGTTATCAATTCAAATGAAAGACAAATAAAAGCAAGAAAATCAAGAAAAGTAGGAAAAATCATGAAAATGTAAATATTGCTCATACGCAGTGTGTGACACTATCGCGCACAATGTCGGGGCCAATCAATAGACCACATAATAATCTGCATTTCCCGGTATGGTATAGGTATGGGTATAAGTACGGATAGAGGGCTCTATTTATAGAATCTCAGATCCATTAAATCAGTCGCATTACGGCGACAATTAACAAATACAAGCATACAAAGCATTAGTGACATTTTTGTGCATTTATTAGATTATTTTTAGAGATTTAAGAGATTTTGAATTAATGGGATTAGTCGGGAATGGGATGGGGTGAGAGATGTCTCATAGAGATAGCTAAACAGGAAGGTCTACAAAATCTTGATCAGAAATGATTAAAGTGGGTTTTTTGGCTTTTATTATTTTTAGATTAAGGGAAGGGTTATACATATATTTCCAAAACCAAACTTGCTTCTGACACAATTAATTATGGCTCTGTGTGTGTTTTTGTCTCAGATTTATGCATTCTGTTCGAATTTGGGTTAACACCAAATATGCCAAAAAAAAAGAGGGTCAAAATATAAAGATCATCCCAACAATGTGGAAAAAAGTGAAAAGTGGAAGGATGCAACTTTTCTTTTTTTTGTTTGCTTTTTTCATTTTTTTCGCTTATTTGGCAAATGTTCAAGTCAACCAGAATTGCTAAAAGGGACGAACGGAACACAGAATAAATAAACGCACAGCATGGTCACTACTGGAGAGGACACACACACATACCAAACACTATGCAACATGGGGCACCAAAAAAAAATATAAGGATATCTGGGGCATAAAAACTCAAAAAAAAAAAGAAAATTCCAATAAAGGAGGACAAAAAGTCAAGAAGCTTAAATGTTCTTATTTTCGGAAGGGGGGTATTTATGCTCAATATAGAGATACATAGCTCTTTAAAGTCTAAAAGATGACTTATATATACCCCTGTACAAGATTAAAGCTTATAATTTTAAATGGGAAGTCTTTTTTTTTTTATCTCTAGTCATTAAAAGATCCGCTAACTATATATTTCAGACTTATTCTATATATTTTAAAAAATAAAGGGTATTTAAGCTTCGTTTTCTATCAAACTTTTCTCTTCTTTTCACTTCAAAGAAAATCCTTCTTTTTTATATAAAACATAAACAATTTATTTAAAAAATTCCAGAAATACTTCTTCAAATCTTAATTAATTAAAAAAAAAAAAACCTTATACCCTACCCCCCTCTTTTTTTTACCAAAAAAAGTATTTTTTTTTTAAATTCCATCAAAATATTGTCCATGTGCGCAGCTAATGAGTTTTCCCGCAAAAGAAGGCGTGGCCGCTAGAACAACCAAAAAAAGGCGTCACCACACTGTCTTCCCCTCTGCTGTCACCCCCCTCCGCTCTCAGCAAGTTGCCAACACTAATTGCTGACCGCAGGACTTTTGGCTAAAGGATATATAAAAAAAAAAAATGAAAAAAATGTGCCACAAAGTTGGGAAATTGTACATCGCCATCGTCGCTTTTCACGCCATTTCCCAAAGGCACATGCAAAGTTTTTCACGCCATTTTCATGCACCGGAAAGCCGGGAGCTGATAACCCCCCACGATTGACCCCCCTGATAGCCCCTGTATAGTAAAAAATCGAATGATCAGACAAATCGATCGACGGATGACATTCCAGAAAAGTATTTATAATCTATATTGATTAAGGAATTATAGAATAACTGAAAATATATTATATATATTGATTTAAGAGTGAAAATATTTGTAAAGATTCCATAATTAAATGAGGAAATGTTGTGTTTTATATAAATACTAGAAATAATACTATAAATACTACAATAAACTGGTATAATATACGTTGGTATACTAGGTAGTCTAGTACTATAATAGGTACTATACTAAATACCTAGTACTACTACTACTACTAGTATATAGTAGTAATACTAGTATAGTATACTAGAATGTCTAAATATATGGCTTTAAAAAATGTGAAAATGTTTCAAAAATAAATAAAAATAGATAAAAACTTGGTTATAAAAGATCCCTATTAAAATAGAACCTTTTTTAATTTAAAATTATAAGTTTTTAAGGCAAATAAAAATAGTTTTTTAAACAATTTTTAAATATATGTAACTTACATGTTCCTCAGACTTTGTACATATGTTGTATATGTATATTTACATGTACATTGCAAAAGTGCATAACTGAATATTTACGAAAATGCATTCAAAAGAATAATAAAAGCAGAAGTGCCAGTAGTTAACAGGACTTGCCAAAAACAAACAAAACAAAAACACAAAATGGATGCAATGGCCAGTGGCCATATTTTTCACCATTATTTTTTATTTTAATACAAAAACACCATTTAAATCGATCGGAAGGCATATATTTCTATTAAACAAGGAATAAATTACTGTATTTGTTAATAATTTAAACTTTAAGTGCCAAACACAAACACAAAAGAAAAACAAAACAAAAACACTCTCACAACAGACGCCGGCGGCGGCCACGAAACGAAAGTCACCTCATTTCAATAGAACTCGTTTAAAAACTTGAAATAAATAGTTAATTTCACTAATCACATATTCCGGAAGTATAACTATTATTAGTTTAACTATTTTGCTTAAATTTAATTAAGACTTTGACGATTTAAATGCACTTTTTAAGGCTTAAAACAAAAGAACACTGCAAACCGACGCACCAGAGAGAGATGGTGAAAAGTTTAACCCTTCAGTGATCGCGGAGAATGAAAGTGGGTGAGAGTGAGAGTGAGGTGAGAGTGCAGGTGCTGTTAAGAGTCACAATAGCTGCGTGAAGGTGCAGAGTAACAGAGCTGGAACTTTGTTTTTAACAGAATGCAGGTGTTTGCCGCCAAAGAGAATATTTTTAAATTTGAAAAATTAAATACAAATACAATGTGTTACAAATAGTTTAAGAAATAAATATTTGAAACATTTTAAGTGTATAGATACTATTACTACTTTATAATATATCAAATAGGCAGTGTTTTTTTTAAACACAAACCTCTTTTTCCACAAAACCCTAAAAGTAGACACTAATTTTTTTTTTTTTTTAATTATTTAAAAAATCTCTATTTTCTTTGTATTTTTCAGAGTCTTTGTGAACAGATCACTGCATTTGGAGAACATCAAGTACTATGGCTTTGACATGGATTATACCCTGGCAGGTAAATAAATAAAATAATTAATTAATTACATATTATTTTATGAAATATTATAACCCTCGTTTATAGAGTACAAGTCACCGCAATATGAGCAATTGGGCTTCAATCTCGTCAAGGAGCGTCTAGTCCAAATGGGCTATCCCAAGGAGATCCTTCAGTTCGAATATGATCCCACTTTTCCCGTTCGTGGTCTCTGGTTCGATACACTGTACGGAAATTTGCTCAAAGTTGATGCCTATGGCAATATTTTGGTCTGTGTCCATGGCTTTGAGTTTATAAAGCAGTAAGTTATATATAATTATATAAATTAATTTCTGTATATTAATTTACTTATGTTTTTTTAGCCACCAGGTGTATGAATTATATCCAAATAAGTTTCTCAAACTAGACGAGTCGCGTGTTTATGTCTTGAACACGCTTTTCAATCTGCCGGAGACCTATCTTCTGGCCTGTCTTACTGACTTTTTCACAAACAGCAATGAGTTTGTTCGGTAAGTTGCTTAATTTTAAGGAAAATTATAGTTTTTATAGAAAAATGCAGAGATTTTTGATAAATTTTAAATAAAAAGTTACAACTTGAAACGTACTGAAGACACAAAATATTAAAATTAGAAGTGCTATTAAATACATATTTTCACAGAGAATTCAAAATTATCTTCTAAATATATTTTTAAAATTTTCTTGAAGACTAAAATATGTTTTTGGGATGATATTTTACCGAAAACTTTGACGGCTGTAACCCTTAGCTTCCTAAACTTTTATTTTCTATAAAAACAATAAAAATATTGTAAAATACTGACTCTACTTTGTTTTAAAAACAAGATTATATCATATTTTGATTACATTTTTTTTAAACCAAAATATATTTTACTAAAAATCTTGAAGAATCCTTACGCTAAGCTTTGAAACCTTGAGGAACTCTTACCCCTAGCTTTCTTAACTTTACTTTTCTATTAAAATACTATACTATTATTATTGTAATAGTATATACTATTAAAATTAAAATACTAACTTGTCTTGAGTTCGAAACAGGTTTCTATAAAACCATTTATTTTTTAAATTTTTTTAACTAATTTAAGTTTAGAACTTTTAAGCATTTGTTCCCTTCTCTTTCTTAACCTTTTTCTTGTCTATCCCCTCTCTACCCATCTCTTTTCATATTCTCCACTCGACTCTACCACCCATCTCTTTCCCCCGACAGCGTTGAACGCGGCATCAAAGCTGGCGATTTCCTTTTCACGTACAAGTCGATTTTCCAGGACGTGCGTCGTGCCGTCGACTGGGTGCATTCCGATGGTGATCTGAAGCGTCGTACCACTCAGGTGAGTAATACTATATACTATATAGAATAGATCTTTGACCGACTTGTATTATCCTTTAGAACATGGCCCACTATGTGAAGAAGGACGCTCGCCTGCCCACTGTCCTGTCGCGTATCCGAGAGTCGGGAGCCAAGCTCTTCATGCTGACCAACAGCGACTACACGTACACCAATGAGATCATGACCTATCTGTTCGACTTCCCCCATGGAGCCACCGAGGAGGAGCCGCATCGCGACTGGAAGACCTACTTCGATGTGATTGTGGTGGATGCCCGCAAGCCGCTCTTCTTCGACGAGGGCACTGTCCTCCGGCAGGTGGACACCAAGACCGGTGGCCTCAAGATCGGCACCCATATCGGACCACTGCAACCCGGCCAGGTGTACTCGGGTGGGTCCTGTGAGCTCTTCACCAAGTTCATTAATGCAAAGGGCAAGGACGTCCTCTACGTGGGTGATCACATTTTCGGCGACATTCTGAAGTCGAAGAAGATCCGGGGCTGGCGTACGTTCCTGATTGTACCGGAACTGGTCCGGGAGCTGCACGTCTGGACGGATGAGTGCCAGTTGTTTGCGGAGCTCCAGAATCTGGACATAAAGCTGGGCGACCTGTATCGCGATCTGGACTCCAGTGCCAAGGTCAAGCCGGATATATCCCAGCTGCGCACCTGCATCCGCGACGTTACCCACAAAATGGACATGGCCTATGGCATGATGGGCTCCCTCTTCCGGTCGGGATCGCGTCAGACCTTCTTCTCCAGCCAGGTGGTGCGATATGCCGACGTCTATGCCGCCACCTTGCTCAATCTCATCTACTATCCCTTCTCGTACATGTTCCGTGCTCCGGCGATGCTCTTGCCCCACGAGTCCACTGTCGCTCACGATCAGCTGGCTCCAGCTCCGGCCCCGGCTCCGGCCACGGCTTCCGGCTCCACATGCTCCCCAGATGAGCCAGCACCTGGTAGGATTGTAGCTGGCAGTGATCAGCCACAGCAGCCGGCCAAAGAAGCCAAGGATTTGCATCGAGCTGTGAGCTATATATATTATATCCTTTATATTTTATCGATTTATTATCCTTATCCTTTTTCAGAGCTCCATTGTCCACACACGCCCCTCCACACCCACCGTCGTCACTCACACCCACGACGAGGACTATTCCGAGGAGGAGGAGACGGCCAGTGGCGCCGAGTCGCCCTCCGAGCAGCAGCTCCGTGAAGCTTCCGAGGATTAAAGAGAGGATACGTTTCAAAGGAACAACAAGGATCAACGAATTTTTGCGCGCCTCCCCCGATACTCCTAATTATTTTTTTTTTTTTGGAAACGTACGATTTTTGCTGGCGATTTTAAACCCGAGAAGCACAGATTTGTGAAACTATATATACCATATATGATATATTATAAATTAGCTGGTTCCATATATATATATATATAATATATATAGACTTATATATATAAAATGTGTGTTTTTTTTAAATGTAAGAAACAAGAAAAATAAATTGCTGTAAAGTGAAGAGAAAGGAGGTTTTTTTATTTAGGGAGAAAAAGGGCTTAAATTTTTTAAGAAAAGTTTGTTTTTAAAATTTTTAAAATATAGATTTTTGGAAAACCTAAGGTTTTTTAATTTTTTGAGTGGAGTTTTTTAAGAATTTTGTATTTTAAACTTCATTTTTGTGGCTTTTAGTCTGAGTTTTGAGCAAGAAACTATGTTTTTGTTTATTATTTCAGGCCTTTTGGTTAAAAATTTTTTTTTTAACTTAAGAACATATTCTGTTTAGTTTAAAAAACATCATTTTTTATTCTTGAAATTTGTAGATATTTTTCTGAGAAATAGATATTTTTTTTTTTAAAGAAGAACTTTTTCAAGACAATAGGCTACCATATGGCTTTCTGCTTTCTTAGCAGACTGCGTTCTTATTTAAAATTAAGTTTTAAATAGGAATTATAACTTTCATAAATTTTTAAAAATTATGTCCACCAAAAAATCTAACAAATAATATAATTAAATATTTTATTTTAAGTTTCTAAAGTGTTTTCATTAGATTTTCTTCTAAAACTTCAACCTCAACTTCTACTTTGAAAAACTTCATCAAACACTTACCAACTAAAAAAGTAAAACTATTTTCATGAATAGCCTTTAATATATTTCATAATATTTTATTAAATTTCATCCCAACTAGTGTGGGAAATTAATTTTTCTTGATTTTATTGCGACTCTCGCACTTGAGTTGCTGAACAATTTGCTCATCTTGGTAAGGATTTTTGATTTCCGTAATAAAGGCCACAGCTTTGTCCTTTTAAAAAAAAATATTTAAAATTATTTACGATGATAAAAAATAAAAAAAATTCTCAACTCACATCGAAATAGACATTGGGATGTCCTTGCTGGAATTCTCCAAAAATGGCAAACACATCCACGAACTTGCCATGTGCTCCAAACTTGTCCGAAAATGCGGAGAACAGGTGCTTGATGGTCTCCTGCTCCACGGCCGTGGTTTCCGTTCGGATGAAGACGGCATGTGGCAGTTGGACTTCCACAGGACACGACTGATAGTCGGTGACAGGACGACGATCGGTCTTTCCGCACAACAGCTGGTAGTCCTTGTACTTCTCCAGCTCGGAGGCGGGCACTATGTGAACCTGGCCCTCGGGATTGGAGCGAATGGAGCACTTGTCCACGCCGAGGCCACCGTGCAGGAAGACAGCGGCGAGCTGGGCACGTTCCGAGGTTTCATCATATTTTCTGGAAAAAAAAAATTATTATTTAAATTAATATTTTTGGAAATTATTTTGGGGCTTAAGTGCTCCCAATGAGAATCGAGGAGGAGGGCGCTATTATTATTTATTTTAAAAAAATTTAAAAAAATCAAAAATAAACACTTACACGCCCGCTGTCGGGATATCGCGGTATCCAACGCTAGGTGGCGCCACAGCCACCAGAGTCTCCAAAGGATCCAACAGCTCGAAGATCACCGGCTGCAGGTTTTCCCTTCTGGCACCCGCCCAACCATTGCCATCGACCACCACCAGATCGGCCTCCTTCTTGCTGACCGCCAGGACACAGTCCACGGACTGGATGCACTGCAGCTCCGGACGAGCATCCCGAGAGTAGGCGGCCTGGTGCAGAGCCTGGCACTTGGCGAACTCGGCATCGTTCTGGGCACAGAGCCGGATTTTGCGAATAGCACTGCCATCCCGCTCGATCACATCCTTGTAGCCGGCACGCTCCAAGTAGACCTTGGGATCAATGGCCGAGTCCTTGCTGTGGTAGACGGCGTTCGGCTGGATGAGCAAGTGGGCGGCGGCATCCTTGTTCTGGGCCTGCAGGCCGTTGGCGAAGAAGCGCTCCAGTCGGTGCTGCAGCTGGTCGAGTTTCTCGGGCGTCCGGACGGCCTGTTCGTTGGAAATGTAGCCCATCCAGGGACGCTGGGCCCAGGAGCAGGCGGGTCCTGTGATCGGCTTCCGAGTCCCATCCTCGCACAGATACTCAAACTCATCCGGATTACCCTCCGCCGGGGTATCCCCTCCGGCCAGTCCGAAGTACTTCTTGATGTACTGCACCTTGGTGAAGGCCACCTCGCCCTTGCCCTTGTCCAGACACCGGATGGCACCGTCGTAGCCACTGAACCGATCCGGATAGTTGCACTGTTCTGGCTTCTCGCACAGGGCGCACAGGTTGGCGTACTTCTTCTTCAAGGATCGATCCGTATTCGGGTACGTGGAGTAATTGCCTACCAAACAGGACTCGCTGAAGAACTCGGATAGCGCTTTTAGTTCCCTCTCCGTGGCGGATATTTCCGGATCAAGGGATACTTTCAGGACCTTGGTGTTCTTTAGCTTGGTGATGGGAATCCTGTAGCCGACATTGCGTCCGAAGCCAGTGTGGCAGGACTTGGCGCCACGTAGCTGTTGCAGAGTGTGAATGGGAGAGGTCTTCTTTACAAGGATAATGCCCTCGTAACGGAAGGGGGCTACGGAAAGGGGTAATCAGGGGGAGATAATGTTTTATAGTTATAATATTATCAAGATATTATAATTACTAGATCGATATAATTTTTAGAGATTTTTAAACGAAAGATATCTTTGAAAAAAAATATTTAAAAAATTATTATCTCAACAGGTGACGAGTATTAGCCTTCTATGATAGAGGGTTCTAAATTTTTTATGAGAGGAGTCGAACTCTCTTCTGAAGAAACTTAATAGAGTATAATAAAGAAAGAGTATTAAAAATCCTGGCAAGTACATAATTTAACAAAAAAAAACAAAAATCTTTAACTAACTCTACACCGAATCGAACTCTATTATTTTCAGCAAAAATCCATCCAAAAACTTACCATCTTTATCCTGTTGGGTGCGAATCTCAGAAATCACTCGAAAGTCCTCATTCTTGCGATGATAGGCAATGTACATATCCTCCGGTTCCGAGGCCAGGACATCGGCCTTCCTCTGTTCAATCAGCTCCAAACAATCGACACGATCTCGTCCCGGGACACACTCCATTCGGATGCCAGCCTCCGAGGGATCGGCCAATAATTGTTGGCATTCCTTTAAATAGATTTTCGGGACACACAAGCGATCTGAAAAGAGATTGAAAACATTAAAGATTAGAAAATAAAAATTATTTAAAAAAAAAACCTACAAATAGGCTCTTCAGCTAGAGCCACCTGGCATAGGCCCACCACCAGAGCCACCACTAGAATCTCAACCCGGGGACTCATCTCGATGCAAACAAAGCTCGACACTGTGAAGAATCAAAAGCCGGCCGGCAGCTTATATACCCGAGCTGTTATCGCTTTTGATTTGTTTGTTTTTTTTTTCTTCAATCAGGAGAAAAAAAAAAGTAAAAACTGTGTAATAATACAATATATATAAAGAATAATAGAGAAATATGGAACCGGTTTCTGGGCACTCCCTAGGAGTGAGTCCTATGAGTTATCCAGAAACCGGTTAACTCTGGATTCTATATATATATATATATCCATGATCTACCTTAAGTTATAGACAAAAGAAATGATCTATCAAAGTCAGGGTGGAGGGTTCTCTTAAGCTCTCTAAAAAAAAAGTCCCTGAAAAGTGTAGCTCCCCCTCTGCAATTAATTGCTTGGCTCTTGATCTTGGTAATCGTTAAAAACATAATCTAATATATATACTTAAAAAATATATATAACATCAGGGGAATTTTTTCAATAAGCTCAGAGTCGAGGTTTGTGGTTGCTAGAAATTTTCAATTATTTCACCTTTTTCTAAACCAATAAAGTAAGGCTAAAATATGGATATTTTTAAACTAATAAAGTAAAGTAATTAAAATTAATAGGTTGTTAATATGCAAGGTAACCGGTTAAGTCATCTCTAGGGAGGAGACCCTTTAGGGCTTAACCCTTTTCTCTTAACCCTTTCTCTACAAAAGCTGCACATTACATAATCCTAAATATTTAAAATGTTATAATTGACAGATTTTCTAAATTACCATAAATCCTAAGCAATTGTATCACTTAAAAAATAATTAAGCCATTTAAATATTTACTAGGCTAAATTCTAGTTTATTTGTAGATTTCAGTTTATTTTTAAGAAAAATCTTAAAAGTTTAAAAAAGGTTTAAGCTTCAATTTCTTTCATTTGAAAAGTGTATAAATTGATATGATTTTTAGCCTTTTTTTTGCACTTTTCTTGGAATCAAATAAATAAATAGTAATTTGTGGTTTTATACACTTTTTTAAGGGGTATGAGGAAATTTTTAGAAACTTGTAAATAATTTTAAAATAAATAAATTTAAAGAACTACATAGGAAATTAAAGAAACACAAGAAGCCTGAGCTTCAAACTCTTGAAGAAAATAAAGAAAATATATTTTTTTTATATTTTTAAGGTTATTTTTTTAACAAAAAACATAAATATTCAATTTATTAGTAACTTATATTTATTAGCTTAAAAAATCACAGCTTAAAAGATCAAAAACAAGGAAATAAATCCTTAAGAAATTTAAAAAAAAAAAGAAAGAGCATTTTCTCTTCGATCTCTTGACTTGCATTTTTAATAGAAAACGATTTGTTTATTCCGGAGGAGAACTTGTTCCCCCCCAGAGGAGGAGGAGGAATTGCGACAGAGTGCACTCCCCCCAGGGGCATGCACACCGCAAGGGGATCCCCCCAAGCACTTGGCAACCAAAAACTTGCAAAGTGATCTGTTTAAAATGCAAGGGGCGTGGTTGAATAACAAATAGATCTTCCAACAACGTGTGGGTGTGGATCGACTCCCTCTCTCTTTCTTTTTAGATGTCAACCCTCTCTATCACACTGTGGGTACAAAAATTAGATGGTTTATTTATGAAATTTGTGTGGCAAGTCCATTTGGGACTTTGTATATGCAGTACTACCCCTTCAGGGGTAATCCGACAAATCAACCCCATCGGTTCAAGGTCACTTTGTCGAGAAATTACCTTAATGGGCTGGGTTTTTTTCGCCAATTTGTACAGATTCTTATCAGCCGAGGAAAACAAAATAAATCAGAGCAGATACATATAATTAATTAATAATAAATATATTTAACAATTAAACTTGTAAAATCAACCATAAAAAGTACAGTGCAACTAAGTTTGTTTTTTATATTTTTTACCAGAACTAGAAGTATAATATCAAAAAAATATGAAAAATTTTCAAAAAGACCGCCATTTGAGTTCAACTCTGTTAACTTAACAGACCCCTTTCCTGTTCATTTTGAATATTCAAACTCACCACAGTATTTTTTCTGGTATTAACAGAGTTGCAGACTAACCAAAACTGGCGCTGGCCAACACTGCACCGTGCGTGGTGAATTCAAGTGACACGTCAAACAGCCGGAGCGACAAAAAGTGTAAAGTTTTTAGTGTTTTAATTAAGAAAATTATAAGGCAAAGAAGAAGGGGAAACGCGACAGAGAATACCGACCGCCACATATACACTGCCGTTGCCATAGCAGTCATCATTAATCCTCCAGAGAACGCAATCGGCCAATCGGAGCAAGATGACGTCGCAAGTGCCGTGTTACACGATTATAAACTCCCCGGACCTGGACGTCCCCAATGAGATGCAACTGAAACAGGACCTGGAGAAGGGCGACACCAACGTCAAGATCGAGACCCTGAAGAAGGTCATCAAGCTGCTCCTCAATGGCGAACGATATCCCGGCCTGATTATGACCATCATCCGGTTTGTGCTCCCCGTCCAGAATCATACGATCAAGAAGCTGCTGTTGATCTTCTGGGAGATCGTACCGAAGACCTCGGCGGATGGCAAGCTCTTGCAGGAGATGATCCTGGTGTGTGATGCCTACCGGAAGGACCTGCAGCATCCGAATGAGTTTCTGCGCGGCTCCACCCTGCGGTTTCTGTGCAAGCTGAAGGAGCCGGAACTGCTGGAGCCCCTGATGCCAGCCATTCGTGCCTGTCTGGACCATCGGCACTCGTATGTGCGCCGGAACGCCGTCCTGGCCATCTTCACGATCTACAAGAACTTTGACTGGCTGGTGCCGGACGGACCGGAGCTGATTGCCAACTTTCTGGACACCCAGCAGGACATGAGCTGCAAGCGGAACGCCTTCCTGATGCTCCTCCATGCCGACCAGGAGCGTGCCCTCAACTATCTGGCGTCGTGCATCGACCAGGTGCACACCTTCGGCGACATCCTCCAGCTGGTGATCGTCGAACTGATCTACAAAGTGTGCCACGCCAATCCCGCCGAGCGGTCGCGCTTCATCCGCTGCATCTACAACCTGCTGAACTCCAGCTCCAATGCCGTCAGGTATGAGTCCGCTGGCACCCTCATCACCCTGTCCCTGGCGCCCACGGCCATCAAGGCGGCCGCCAGCTGCTACATCGAGCTCGTCGTCAAGGAGAGCGACAACAACGTGAAACTGATTGTTCTGGACCGTCTGGTGGCCATGAAGGAGCACGAGGGCATGGAGAAGGTGATGCAGGACCTGGTCATGGACGTCCTTCGCGTTCTGGCCGCTCCCGATATCGAGGTTCGCCGCAAGACCCTGGCCCTGGCTCTGGACTTGGTCTACTCCCGGAATATCGGTGAGATGGTGTTGGTCCTCAAGAAGGAGGTGGCCAAGACCCACAATGTGGAGCACGAGGATACTGGCAAGTATCGCCAGCTGCTGGTCCGCACCCTGCACACCTGTTCCATCAAGTTCCCCGACGTGGCCGCCAACGTTATACCCGTGCTGGTCGACTTCCTGTCCGACACCAACGAGCTGGCCGCCGCCGATGTCCTCGTCTTCATCCGGGAGGCCATCCAGAAGTTCCCAGCCCTGCGGGCGCTCATCATCGAGCACTTGATCGAGGCCTTCCCCCAGATCAAGTCCTCGAAGATCCATCGCGCCGCTGTCTGGATCCTCGGCGAGTACGTGGAGGGGCCTCAGATCCTGGAGGTGATTGCCGTCATCCAGCAGACCTTGGGCGAGGTGCCCATGGTGGAGGCGGAGCAGCGTCGCCTCGCTGGCGACCAGACGGACGAGCAGCAGCAGTCGCAGGGCAACGGTGCCGGCGAGGGAGCAGCCACAACATCTGGATCTGGAACTGGATCGGGCAATGCCAGCAATAAGGTCACATCCGATGGTACCTATGCCACCCAAAGCGCCTACAGCTTGGCACCGTAAGTTCATAGACATACATCTCTTGCCAATCATGACTCATCATATATCCTCTCCTAACCCATAGGGTGGCCAAGGCCGAGAAGCGTCCACCACTGCGTCAGTATCTGATGGATGGAGACTTCTTCATCGGTGCCGCATTGTCCGCCACCCTGACCAAGCTGGCGCTGCGCTACGCCGAACTGGAGGCTGAGCCACGCGCCCAGAACCGTCTCACCACCCAGGTGATGCTCATCATGAGCTCCATCCTCCATCTGGGCAAGTCCGGCTTCCCCACCAAGCCGATCACCAACGACGACACCGATCGCATCTTTGTCTGCCTCCGGACGCTCAGCGAACGCACTCCCGAGGCCGTTGCCGTCTTTACTTTGTTCTGCCGGGAGGCACTCGGCAAGATGCTGGACGCCCAGGCCGATGAGGATCAACGGGTGCTGAAGGAGAAGCAACGGGCCGCCGCCAAGGTCCAGCCCGATGATCCGGTACTCTTCGGCCAGCTGTCCAACGGGCGGGATAACCAGCTGGGCGAGAATGTGTTCGAGTCGAGCTTGAACCAGGCCCTGGCTGGAACCAAGAATGCCCAGATGAGCGACATCTCGTCGCCGAACAACAAGCTCAACAAGGTCACCCAACTGACGGGCTTCTCGGATCCGGTCTATGCCGAGGCCTACGTCAATGTGAATCAGTATGACATCGTCTTGGATGTCCTAATCGTGAATCAGACCAGTAAGTGGATGACTTAGTGTACTTCATCCTTTTTTTATTACATCCTGTATCCTTTCAGACGACACTCTTCAAAACTGCACCCTGGAGCTGGCCACCCTGGGCGACCTGAAGCTAGTGGAGCGTCCGCATCCAGTGGTCCTCGCCCCGCACGACTTCTGCAATATCAAGGCCAACGTTAAGGTCTCTTCCACAGAGAATGGCATCATCTTTGGCAATATAGGTGGGTTGTCCCACTGTCTCTCTTTCTCTAGGGAAGGAGTTCTCTATTAATCCTGAATCCCCATTTTTCCAGTTTACGACACCGCCTTAAATACGAATGTTGTGGTGTTGAACACCATCCACATCGATATCATGGACTATATCATTCCGGCCAGCTGCACCGACACCGAGTTCCGGCAAATGTGGCAGGACTTTGAATGGGAGAACAAGGTGACGGTCAACACCAGCTTCACCGACCTGCACGAGTATCTCAAGCACCTGCTGAAGAGCACCAACATGAAGTGCCTAACGCCGGAGAAGGCATTGTCCGGCCAGTGTGGCTTTATGGCCGCCAATATGTATGCCAAGTGGGTATCCCATCAGCAGATTCTCCTCCAGTTTTGATCTTAAAACTCTCCCCTTTTAAGGTCCATTTTCGGTGAGAATGCTTTGGCAAATCTGAGCATCGAGAAGCCTGTAGATGATCCCGAATCCAAGGTCACAGGACACATACGCATTCGAGCAAAGAGTCAGGTGGGGATTGGATGGCTTTGAGTCTCCAAATTGTAGCTTCATTACCATTTGTTATCCTTTTGCAGGGCATGGCCTTGAGTCTTGGGGATAAGATCAGTTCATCGCAGAAGCAATCGGTGCAGGCGGCCTAGTGGATGTGGAAAGGTAACTGGAACTGGATGATCTGGCCGTGGACGACCAGTCATCATCAGGAGCGACGCCTCTAGACTCTAGACCGCATTCCGCATCAACAATTCTTCAATTTAAAAATCTAAACGTTACAACTTATGCCTAAAACAAAAAAAAAATGAAAGAAAATTATACATATATTATACCTTAGCCCCAAAATGATGGAATTGGAAAGAGTACTTTTGTGGTGAAAGTCTGGATTTATTGGGGATTTGGATGTATATATAGGAGATATATATAATTGGCTAAGAATTAAGTCTATTTTGTGTAAAGTACACAAGGTAAAAGCATGATAGATGCTTGTTATAACATGATTCTGGCTTGATAAAGCATGATTGTTGCATGATGAGACTTGATAGTTGCATGATGATGTATTATAGTTGGTTTAATTCAACAAACGATGAAAATTAATGCTTAAACTCTCCAAATAATGTTTCCATGATGAAGCATGATACTTGTGTGATGAGAAATAATAGCTGAATGATAGTTGCATGATAAAATATAGTTGATTGATTCAATACACGATAAAAAATGATGAAGCATGATAGTTGCATCATGGGACATAATAGTTCCATGATGAAATATTATAGTTGGATGATTCATGACTCATGGATGATAGTTTCATGAAGAAGCATCATACTTGCATGATGAGACATAACAATTGCATATTTAAACACAATTGTTGCATGATGAAGCATTATTTCTTCATTTTTAAACAAGAATATCAAATAATTCATTCTTTTTTACAATTTAAAACGATAAAACCAAATAGTTTATTATAGAAAATTAAAGATGAATGATGAAGTATGATGGATGCATGATAAATTCATCATAGATGCATGACAAGTCAAAATAACTTCATGTTTAAACATGAAACTAATCAAACAATTTCGGAATTAGGTTTTTAAAATCCTCTCTAGAGTCTAGAGTCTTAGACCTGTAGCATGGGACGCTTCTCCTTGCCCTGGAGGTTGTCATTGGTGGTGGCATATCCAGTGCCGCCCTAGAAATATTTTCAATGAAAATAACCACTATAGAGCTACATATATCCATCCAGATACACACCCTCTGCAGCGGAATAATGTCCTTATCCTTGAGCTTGCGATCGGTGAGCGGATGAATCATGTCCTTGCGTATAAGTCGCTCCACACACTCCATGGTCACCACATCGCCCCTACAAAATAGACACCTACTTTAGAAACACAAACACCAGACTTGACCAATCCCCTTCAGATCTCACGTGGGACGCAGGACGGCGCAGGGCACGGCATTGCTGAGGACATCGTGGGTGATGGGGCACATGTAGCGGGCCTCCTTGGCGATCAGTGACTTCTTTGTGTCCCCATCCCGCAGCAGGGTGAACTTCACATCGATCAGATCCTTGACGCGAAGGGGCTGCTGCGACACTGGACAGTAGATGGTGGCATCCGGCTTCTGGGCCTTGGCCACGCCGGCATTGGGACACTCCGAGGGCAGCCAGAAGCTGGGCAGCTTCTTCTCATGGCCGTTGGTCATATTGGAAATGGAGGATGAGGACGAGGCGGATGTGGATGCGGAGGTACTGGCAGCACTCGAGGTGGAGGCCTGTGCCGAGCGGTGGGCTGGGGTCATGGCTGGCTTCTCGCCATTCACGAACTTCTCCATGCGCGCCTCCTGCTTCTTGTTGGCCTCCGCACTGACCTCGTCCTCCTCGACCTTGCGGAGGCGCTCGTACTCCTTCAGCCGGCGGCTGTACTCGTTCTTCTTGGTGACGATGTACTGCAGGATGGCCTCCTTGTCGAACAGGTAGCCGTCCTTGGTGATGACCGGCCGTCGGCACGGCTGCAGCGTCAAGGAGCAGCAGTCGAAGGACTTCACCGAGTCCTTTCCCAGCCGCTGGGCATTCGTTCCGTATCCGGACTCTGCCGCATCGCGCTTCTTCTCGTTGTACGTGTAGACGGCTCCGGCCGTACAGTTCCTGGCGTGGCGTGTCATCCTGCGGTGTGTTTATAGCGATTCTCTCCTATTTTCAACAGAAACAACACGCAAGCGAACACCAAACACTAATGTTTACGTTTTAGAATGTTTCAGTGTGACCAGCGAGCGAAAACGTCGGTAGACCACGGTTAGGGTCACATTGAAATGCACGAATTTTAAATTTATTTTAAAATTTTTTTTTAAATAGAATAATATATAAACAAGTAATAAATTTATTTAAGAACATTAAAATAGTCATATAGGCATTCCCGGTGTTTTTCAAGGGGACCCCCTGCAAAATTTGACAAAAAATCTAAAAAATATTTTCCTCCCAGATTTTGATGCAGAATGATGGATAATGAATCCACAAATCGTTTAAGCTATCCCGCTTGGGAATCGGATGGAAATTGCCAGAGTTATAGCCTCCGCGGGGGTCATATGGGCATTCCCGGTGTTTTTGAAGGGGACCCCCTGCAAAATTTGACAAAAAATCTAAAAAATATTTCCCTCCCAGATTTTGATGCAGAATGATAGATAATGAATCCACAAATCGATTAAGCTATCCCGCTTGGGAATCGGATGGAAATTGCCAGAGTTATAGCCTCCGCGGGGGTCATATGGGCATTCCCGGTGTTTTTCCAGGGGACCCCCTGCAAAATTTGACAAAAAATCTAAAAAATATTTCCCTCCCAGATTTTGATGCAGAATGATAGATAATGAATCCACAAATCGTTTAAGCTATCCCGCTTGGGAATCGGATGGAAATTGCCAGAGTTATAGCCTCCGCGGGGGTCATATGGGCATTCCCGGTGTTTTTCCAGAGGACCCCCTGCAAAATTTGACAAAAAATCTAAAAAATATTTCCCTCCCAGATTTTGATGCAGAATGATAGATAATGAATCCACAAATCGTTTAAGCTATCCCGCTTGGGAATCGGATGGAAATTGCCAGAGTTATAGCCTCCGCGGGGGTCATATGGGCATTCCCGGTGTTTTTCCAGGGGACCCCCTGCAAAATTTGACAAAAAATCTAAAAAATATTTCCCTCCCAGATTTTGATGCAGAATGATAGATAATGAATCCACAAATCGTTTAAGCTATCCCGCTTGGGAATCGGATGGAAATTGCCAGAGTTATAGCCTCCGCGGGGGTCATATGGGCATTCCCGGTGTTTTTCCAGGGGACCCCCTGCAAAATTTGACAAAAAATCTAAAAAATATTTCCCTCCCAGATTTTGATGCAGAATGATAGATAATGAATCCACAAATCGTTTAAGCTATCCCGCTTGGGAATCGGATGGATATCGGCCAAGATAGGGCATAATCCGGAGGTCTTCAGATAAAAATCTTTTTTTTTTAAATTATTTTAAAGTTTTCTTAAGTGGCTCCTATGAGAATCGAGGAGGAGGGCGCTAATATAATAATATATTATTTTTTTAATTTTATTTTTTTTTTTTAATCTTTAAACCTTTATGAGGTTGAAAAATAGTATGACCTTTTGGCCTTCTTTGGATGGATTTCTTGGCGCGCTGCGGAAGGTCACACTGCTGGCGGTGGTTTGTTTTAATTTTAGTTAGTTGCTTGTTTTAAAAGCCAGCCGCCCGAGGGCCTCCAGACAGGAGCCACCGATGGACTACCAATATTACGACGAGGAGAGCGACTACATCGACGTGGACGATGGGGACGAGGACGTGGAGGACGACCCGTCGGACTTCACATACGACGATAGTCTGCGGGAGGAGGACTACTACGGCGGAGGATACGAGGAGGATGGGATCCAACTGCCAGATGGCTACCTGGAGATCCTGCGCTCCTGTGCCCAGCCCTCGCTGCTGCAGGTGATCCAGTATGTGGCGCCCATGCTGGTCGTGTGCCTGGGATGTCGTCTCCTGTGCTCCCTCCATGCTGGGAGAAGAAAGATCCAGCCAGGAGAGGCTGCCTCCGCGGGCAGCATCTCAATCCCCCTGCACTTGATCCACCTGGCCAGTGGCCTGATGATCCTCTATGTCACGTTGAGTCATAGACTAGCTCTGATCCTCCTGCTATCGGTTGTGGGCTATGTGCTGCTCCAGCTGGCCCGCCTGGGCAGGAGGGGAGCTGTCATCCTGGCCTTTGTCACCATTGGGAGTCAGTTTATCTACGAGCTCTTGATCTGGCGACAGAGGAGCGACTGGTCACAGCTGCGGGGCATCCAAATGGTGGTCAACATGAAGTTGATCTCTCTGGGATTCGATTTAACGGCGACTGGGACGGCCAAGTCGAAGACCATTCGAGTGCCCAATCCTCTGGTCTACTTGGGTTACATCTTCAGTCCAGCCACCTCCTGCCTGGGTCCTTGGATCAGTTTCGCCAGCTACCTAGACAGCCTGGTGCCCCGGAATTCTTGGCTAGTGACGCTGCGACGGCTGCTTCCCAATCTGGTCCTCTGCCTGGTGGCCCTGGTGGTGTCCAACTGCATAGCTCCCTTCCTGGGCGAGCTGTTCGCATTCTCCTCCCACTTCCTGGGCATGTACTTCGAGGCGATGAGTGTCCGGAGCAGTCACTACTTTGTCAGCTTTATAGCCCAGGCACTGCTGGTGGCCAGCGACCAGGGCACGGAGAACGAGTCACAGTGGCTGGGACCGCTGGTCACCCAGCCGTGGCGCATCGAGTGGCCCAGATCCATTAGCTCCCTGGTCCGGAGCTGGAACATTCCCATGCACGAGTGGCTAAAGCGGTACGTCTACGGGCCCTGGAAGAAGGAGGACGGATCCAAGGGACGCACCATCCTGGCTGTGCTATGTACTTATCTGGTTTCCAGCCTGCTGCACGGCATGGATCTCCGCATCTACCTGGTGCTCATCTCGCTGGCCATCTTTGGTGAAGGTGAGGTCCTTCTGAGGCGACACATTTCCAGCGTCTTGGATGCCTGCCTGTCGGCGAATCGTTGCCGGGGAAGAGATCGGTGTCGTTATGCCAACTGCCCCAAGAAGAGGAACTGGCTTTGCTTCCGATCCTGCCTCATCCGATTAGCCAACCTGGGATTCACGGCTCTCACCATCTTCCATCTGGCCTACTTGGGTGTTGTCCTGCTGGGTGAGTCCCTGGAATCCAGCGACGATCACGAATCCTTCCTGGCGCACTGGCAGCGTGCCGGCTATCTCAGCCACTACATCGGCGTTGGAACCTTCGTCCTTTATCTCTTCATCTCGTGAAGAGCTTCACCGCCAGCGATCTCCACAGGAGTCTCGGATATATAATCTCGACATGACTGATCTACTCGTATTCGTAGCATGTACTTTGTATTGGTATTCGCTTCCTGCTCTTGTACTTTTTGTATTTTTGTATCTCGTATCTTGTAGTTGGTGTATCTAGTGTGCTTGTGCTTAAAAATAAAACAATTCTGTGAAACAGATACCTTTTTTTTAAGAAATATTTAATGGAAATATGGATTTTTAATGTCAGAAGTTGGCGGTATTTGGAGGTGAGAGAGATGGCTTGAAGATTACTTGGTTTAGAAAGAAATGAGAATAGGATGGGTATGTTTATAGGAATGTAGTCTTATATCTTATTATTGAGATTCTAAGATACTGCACTAAAAAGATAGAAAGATACTAAGACCATATTTGTGGAATACAGGAATAATTATTATATATTAAGTTGTAATATCTTGTTTCGATATTTTTATATTTTAGTTATATTTCTTAAAGAAATATATTTAAAAAAATATACTACTTTTGGAATATTTATACCCGATACTTATAGAATATAAAATACACAAATAATTCCCAATCTTTATATGTGTGGAAAAATAATCCTTGTTGAAGACTTGTCTGTTTGTACAGAAGTCTGTCCGTCTAATAAATAATGTTATTTAGAAAATTAAATTTTTAATATTTTTGATATTGATGTACATACGTTTCTTTGGTCCTTAAAGTAAGATATAGTCTTTCAATTTAGTCCTTTAATATAGAAACAATATTAACCAGACGTTCAATGCGTGAAATAACAAATAATCACAGTCCGATTTACCATAACTCTGTCCGTCTATTTAAATATTAAGCTATTGATAATAAATCTTTTAAAATATAAAACTATAAAGATTATCAACTTATTCATTTTTTAATGTAAAGAATATATTAAAATAATACCTAATCCATAAATGAGTCAAAGGATAAATATCCCCTGTCCGCTTGTCCGTAAACTCCGTCCGTCTAGTTGAAATATTTGTTTTAAAAGTGAGACTTTTATAATATTTCAATAAATAGGAATTGCATATATATATATATATATATGTTCTATTCTATTATATAAACTAAATTACAAAAATAAAACCTAGCCCTATAATGAGTCAAATAATAATCATTCCTTGTCCGTAAGACTGTCCGTCTAATTGAAAATTCTATTTTCTTAGACTAACTTTTTAAAAAAAATTTAATATTTAAAACCATTATTATTTAATATTTAAACACGTTTATAATTTTCAAATATTTTTATTGATTTTTTTTGTTTTGTATGTGTATTTTCTTTGTTGGTTTTGTTTTGTTTGTTTTTTTTTTATATTTTTTGTTTTCTCATTGAGACAAATATTTATAACAATATTTTAATTTCTACAGATTTCTTGTTTTCTTTTGTTTTCTTCTCATTTCCATTTCCGTTTCGTTTTTTGTGTTTCTGAAATATATTTGTTTTTAATTTGATTTAAATCATCTCCTGGGGGCTGTGGCTTTATCCAGTTACTGTTTTACTTTGTTTTTCCGCGCTTACCATTTAAATATTTAACTTACTAGGCTTAAGAATTATGCAATGACAATAAAAATATTTATTTACTTTGTTGAATGCAACTTTCTTGTTTTTGTAGCTTTTTTATTAAAATTATTATAATATTTTTTCATCTCATCATCTGTCTGCTGACTTTTTGCCGAAAAAGTTGCTCTAATTTCTGTTCTTGGGGGTAGGATTTTGATTTGGACATCAAAAATAGAGAGATATACATGTGTAACCTATATGTAGATATAGATCAGTATATATATACATATATATATATATCGATTCGTGTATGTATATATTTATATATAGATTTTTTTTTATAAAGAGCCTTTGTGTAAACATAGACGTCGTATGCATTGTTTTTTAGCCGTGTTTTCCGTATCCGTTTCCGTTTCCGGTTCTCATTTTTTTTTTTTTTTGACTTTGTTTCCGTTTCTCCGATTTTTGCGCTATTCTAGTTTTAAAAAAAGTCCTCTGCCTGGTGTGCCCGATCCTTGCCTCAACTTTTATTCATAACAACAACTGAGTTGATCACAAGAGATAACGAGAGTTTCTATATAATGCATATATGTATATAGTATATGTTGTATATACGTGTGTTTTCTGCCAAAAATATCCACTCTTTCTACTTTTTCGATGATTCTCTGGGGGTCGTCCTTTCCATTCCAAAAAAAACAATATCCATAAAATACAAATAGTGTACAAATATTCGCTAGCTACGTATATCCATATATAATATATATATATATATAGGTTTTCAAAATACAAGGTTAGGAGTAAGAGGATGGAACTATATTCTGGGGGCTTTCGATTCTGTTTTCTTTTTTTTTCTCTAAAATTATGTAACAAAGTGCTTGAATAATTTACGGCCTTTTTTCTAAAATTTCTTATTTTTTTTTTAATTACATTCTGCGGCACACACACATATATACACATAAATCCTGTGAATTATTATTTTTTTTTTACTCTCAACTCTTTCAGGGGGGGGAAAAAATGGTGACTTTTGACTATATACCCTGACAAATCGGCTTACAACATTTAGCTAAGAAAAAAAAATAGATATAATATTTATAAAGACTTTTTCTTTTTTGCTAAAAAAAACCCGCACGCTTTGCATTACGAGAATTATAAATTAAAAAAAATTTAATTACAAAAGAGGAGTGGGAGGATGGGGGGGGTAGAGGTTTTACAGGACATTATATAGTTTATATATCTATATATATATATATTTGAATATACAGAAACACAAGATGTTTTAGGTAAGCTGTAGTATCATTAAATTAATAAAAATAAACTAAGTTCGTAAACTAAATCATAAAAATAAGATTAAAATTAAAAAATTATAAACATAATTACACTGTGATTTCTATTTTGTTTCTTTTTTTTCATCATGTCCTTAAAAAAAAAAACAACAACAACTCGATCTTGACGATCCTTCACACAGTACTCATACACACACACACAGTACCACATATACACGTAGTTCTATACATATATATATTCCTCTATATACGTATATAAATCATATGATATGCGGCCGGCCAACGGAAGGATCGATCATCGATGACCACCACCCACCATCCAATCACCGATGCTTTCCTGCTATTCACCCTTCTTGGTTGGAGGGGATACGGCTGCGATGGCGATGGCGATGATAGAGTCGGTGACGAAGTCGGTGACGGTGTCGGTGTCGGTGACGGAGACGATGAGCCGCTATCCCACATCGTTCAATCGTTCTTCGTCTGACAGTAGAGCTCCTTGAGCGACTTTAGCTCCTCGATGAGGGCCTTGTTTTGGTTCTCTAGCACCGCCACTCGATTCTCCAGGCACTTGATGTACTCCTTCTTCTTGCGCCGGCACTCTCGCGCCGCCTCCCGATTCTTCTGCAATCGAATCTCCCGCTTCCGTGTCTGATCCTCCGCTATACCGCTATTGTCTGGAAGAGATTAAGATGGACATATATAGATGAGATTCTAAAATTTCCAAAAGATTCGATTATAGAACTTTTTATAACTCGAACTAAAAGATGATTTTTTTTTAGGAAATGTTTAACTTTTTTTAAAATTAAAATTAAGTATTTTTTTGTCAATATTTCATCTTAAAATTCGAGTCATTTTTAAAGTTCTCTAAAATTTTTAAAATTTTATAGATTTCTTTCTTTTTTTTTATTTTTTTGGACTGAATCTATTACTGGTATAGGGTATCCGATTGGTCAGGTAGTAGTTCGGATCCATGGTGATCAGTGTGTTGTTCAGCGCGCTCCCCGCCAGCTGGGTGGTCTGGACGCCGTCGGACATGGGATGCGATGCGCCTGGCATTTTCAGTATTTTTTTCGAATATCGAATTTTTTTTTTTTTAAGTTCGGAGGGGGGAGGAGTAGGAATTGTTGTTGTTGTTCGATTGTTGAAGTTGTTGTTGTTGCAGTTGTTGTTTTTGGATTTTTTTAAATAGATTTTTTTGTTGTTGTAGGGTAGGCGGTTAAAAAGAAAAAAAAACAATGAAAAAAAAAACAACAATAAAATTATAAGAACAAAAACATTTTTCCACAATTTTCCATTTAATTAATTTTGATCTTAATTTTGTTTTTTTTTTTTGTTTTAATGAACATTTATTTAATTTTTGTTGTTTTAAGTGGGGTGAGTGCGAGAGCGAGAGCGGCGAGCGAGCGAGCGATATATAAGGATATTATAGTGTCGTTAGTCAAGGACAGAAATAGATAGAGATAGAGCAGGAGAGAGAGAGAGAGTGTGGGTTAAGTTACGGTTGTTAGGTGCTTTTTACTTTTATTTTTATTTTTTATTTGATTTTCTAATAATTTTTTTTCTATTTGCATGATGGGTTGTGTAACAACAACAGCAACAACAACAGCGATTACAGCAACAAACAACACGACACGAGCGAGATAGAGATAGAGTGGGGGCGGTCTTGTGGGGGGATATCGCAGAAAGAGATAGAGGGAGAAAGTTTAAGGAGAGAGCGGCAGCAGGTCTCCAAAAATTTTGTTGCTTGCCTTGTCTATGTATTATGGTCGTGTGTGTGTGTTTGTGTGTGTGTGTGTGCGAGAGAGAGGGTTATTATTTACAGGATTCTCTACAAAGCCTGGTTAGCTCCTGGACGCGACTCCCAAGCTTTATATTATTTTTCTTTAAATATTATTTCGTTTAAAGCAACATCAACAACAACAACCACTAAATGAGAATGTCTTGAGAATGGGTGGGTGGTGGGTGGCAGTGGGGTGGTGGTGGGGGCGGCAAACTAGAACAAGGGTTTCTGTGGCAAGAGATCTTGTAAGGCTGCCGCCACTAACGGTACTTTCTATTATGGAAAAAACAGCAAAAAAAAAACAACAACAAAACAGAGGATGGTTCCTAAATATATACAAAAATACTAAATATGCAAGACATAGTAGTATCGGGTAGTCATATTTCAAGAAATTATTTACAAAAGTTTGTGAATTTGAAAGTTTTATATGATATAATAAATAGTATCATCATGATCAAAAATTAATTCCTATGTTTGTAGAGTCAGCATTTTTGAAATATCTAAGAACCGGAATACTAATCTTTAATCTTTTAATCAAGGCCAATCTATATATAATCTTGAGTTTAAATCTTGACTGTTCTAATTTTGGGACCTATTTTTTTTTTTATATACAAATTCAGTTAAGACTATTATAACCTTAAGGATAATTGGTTCCTAAGTTTTAGAAGCTTTTTTCTTGATATTAATACAATTTACAATATTTATTATTGTAATATAAATTATTATAATCTTTCTATACTCATTCCTAGTTCTGGTAACTATATCCTTTCTTCAATAACTATCGTTTAAAGAAAGAATTGGTTTCTATCTAAGCTATAAGGAAGCTATTTTCTTAAAATTTATAAAAATTACAATAATTATTGTAATCTTTCTATCATGACTATTTTAATCAGAAGAATTCTGTCCTAAGTTCTGGTTTGATATTCTTGAAATTACTAGAAATTGGTGAAATATTCTTTCAATAACTAAGTTTAGGATTAGAATCCTTTAATATAAGTTAAGTATAAAATTTTAACCAGGCACCTAATCCTTTAAAAAAATTAAAGAAAATATTCTCTAAGAATTCTTGTTAAAATTAAATAGATGCTATATACATTTTATACATCTTTCTAGATCAGAATCTATTATTTTCAACAAAAATATTAATCTCCTGCCAAAATTTCTCAAAAATATTGTCTATAACAATACCTAAATGAAGTTAAAATCATTGTAAGGCATAGAAACCCTATAATTATTAAAGATTTGATTTAAGAACTATAAAATAAACAACATTTTAAACAAAATTAGGCCTCTTTTCCTAAGATTTGATAAAAATAAGGACTATTTAAATAATAAATCAATTTCAAGAGTTGGTATTTACATCCTCTTAAAGACCTAGACGCCAGAAGATAATCCCTAAAGCCAAAGCCTTTACACAAAATGAGAGACAACATGAAGACATGAGGACACATGGGACACATGTAAGGGTTAAAGAAACACATATGGAGAAATGCTTTTTATGAAGAAAGTGCTGAAGAATATCATGAATTAGAACATGAATTGGAATATGAACTGGCTGAACTGATTCTGCACTGAGCTAAACGATGCGAATGCGAATGTTTTTGGGTTAGCGACATACACATGGTGTTTCCAGAGCGAAATAAATGTTTGTAGAGTGTGTGGATAGTGGTATGAGATATATATGTTCGCTCCAAGATATATTACCGCTTATGTCGGGTCCACTGATTTCGGTTAAGATCTTATTGTACGATGGCCGCCGCGTCAGTTCGCTGACATGATGCTGCGAATCATCGTCCGACAGACTTTCGTCACTATCCTCCGGATGTTGGGTGTTCGGTTCGGGTTTGATTTTACACGGAAAATTTGGAGGGATCTATAATTGAAATAGAAAATAATTATAATAATATATATAGATATATCTTTTGATTTGAAAGCTCTCTCTCTAAGGGGAGCTACGCACTTTGTTACGCACTTGAGCTGCATTGCCCGAGGCCGTGTGTATAACCGTATTAGCCGGTTTGGCCACATAGACCACGCCCATTCCAACGCCCTTGTGCATCGCTGTGGCGGCGGCCAGCGCCTGTGCCTGTGCCTGAGCCTGTTGCTGTTGTTGTTGGGCTGCCGTTCCAGCTGCCGTCTGTATGACCCCCGAAGGATTAGCCTGTATCACGGATTGTACCTGTGGATATATAGAAAATAATATAATGAGTCTGTCAGATATCTTCGAGAGTCTTCCAACTTCAAGCCACAAAATGTAAACAAAAGGAAATTACATAATGTAAATATTTACAAATTATAGGAAATTCTACTCTCTTCTAAGCTGAGACTTCTTCTTCTGAGCATTCTCCGAACCGGCTATGATTATTTTTCATATTTTTTCTTTTTTGATGTAAACTTTGACTTTATTTATGGTAATTTTATAGTTCATAAATAATAATTTTGAATTAAAAATACTTGTTTGGATATATTTGATAAAATTTGGTGGGGTTTTTTCAAGAAACAATTAGGCATTATCGAATATTAAATGGTGCTTGTGGGAATTCTTTAAATATGGAGCATATTTGGGGTCTGAAATTTAAGTAAGAGGAATGGAGATCAATGGGTCGATCTTAGGGTCGATTTTAGTATACCCTTGATTTTTTTAGGGAGTATATAGTAGTTCTTTGAAGCAGAAATTAATATTATTATAATTTTATAACGATTTTAGGGGAAAAAGGCAACGATTTTAGAAGAAAGATGTTCATGATTTATCGATTATTATCGATTAAAAGTCGTTTATTTTAATGGATAAAGTAGTATTTCATATTTAAGTTTTAGAATTGGGATTTTTTGTATGAAAATATATGACGTTACACCTTTTTTAGTTGTTTATTGAATGTAGGATAAGTTTTAAATTATTTTTAAAGAAAAAAGCGTAAAATATCGTTAAGATATATCCAATATAGAAGAAGATTTTAAGAATTTTTAACAGATTTACTTTTAGGGTAAAAAATTACCAAATAATGTCTAAGAACAGCCATTATTATAACTATTTCTTTAAACATTTAAAAATTATCAACATTATTAAATGAAACGAAATAGAAACGATTTTATGCCAATATGTTGATTATTTATCGATTATTATCGATTAAAACTGGATTATTTTAATTTATTAAGTAAGTTTTTATATTTAAATTACCGTTTTTGAAATATATAACATATATATTTTTAAAATATAACGTAATAAATTTTTCTAATTGTTTCTATGAATGTAGTTTATGTTTAAAATTATTTTTTAAAGAAAAAAATAAAAAATACCTCTTGAATCTGAATATTTTAAGAAAACTTTCGAAAGATTTTAAAAATCTGGACATTAAAAAATATTCTTTACTCATAAAACCAAAAGATTTAATAAATGGCTTGGCTTGAAGTGAAAACTATATCCTTGATCCTAAAGATCTTAAAATCCTAAAGATTCTCACCTGCAGGCCGTGTGGCGTCAGTCCAGCCTGAAGGGGGTACTGGATGTTCAGATTGGCGGTGGTGGTAAGCACGGTGGCGCCTCCCTGTGCATTATTCGTCGCTCCTTGCGACGTTGTACTCGTACTCTGTGGGTTCTGCTGTTGTTGCTGTTGCTGCTGTGGATTGCCGCCTCCTCCTCCTCCGCCGCCTCCACCGCCGCCACCGCTACCGGGTGCTGCTTGGGCGGCAACAACGTCGACAACATCATTGGCGGACGAGGCCGCCGACGAGTTGCCGTTCTCCTCGACGATGCTGTTGTCCATATTGCCGATCCTGGCGATCTTCAGCAGCACCGAGACGCTCTCCGACAAGTGCTTCAGTTTGGCTTCCGTTTCCGCTTCAATTTGGCCAGCTTGAAGGGGTCGCTGATTGGATGGATGGGTGGTTTATTAGAGGGGTGGTCTTATTAGCCAAGATTTAATAAAAAAAAGGAAACAACTCCCGATTGATGGCAAAGCTTGTGCTCAACTGTTGTTGCGTTTTGTTTTGTATTTTTGCTCGTCGATGATGATGACGACGATTGCGTTGACTCTGGTGCTAGTGATGATTATGTCGGTGATGGAATGGCAACACCAACAACAACACTAACAACAACACTAACAACAGCAACAACAGTGTCGCAGGGTGTATTTTTGGGGGAATGACGTCATGACAACGCTGTGGCGCTGTGTGTGCGAGTGTGTGTGTGGGGGGGGGTCGACTTAAAACGACTAAAAAAAAACAACAACAACACTAAGAGAAACAGAAAAGAAAACACACACACACACACACACTAACCCAAGGAACGGGGGACAAAAAACAAAAAAAAAAAATCAACTTACTTTCTGATGACATCACTAAAAACGTTGCTGTTGAGAGGCGCTTGTTGTTGTTGCTCTCCCTCTCTCTCTCGCTCGCTCGCTAGGTCGCGTGTGTGTGTGCGCGCGTTGCACGATGTGCTGGCAACTTGTTGAAAAAAATCACCAGCTACAGTTACAACTCAACCATCAAGGATTTGATTCACAAAAAAATTAGAATCAAAATTTGAATTTCCGTTTTGGAATATTAACAAATATTTCGAATGCACATTCTGTCAACACAACAACGAGTTGGCAGCACGCACACACACACAACACCCGCACTGCTCTCTCCCTGCTCCACTCTGCTTTCTGTTCTCTTCTGCCTGTTGTTATCGTTGCCTTTGCTTACGTTCTTTTATTTTTGTCAATTTCTTTTTGTCGCGCCTTGCAATGCGACACAGATTGCTTGTTTCATAGATTTCTGGTTGCGACTTCCGGTTGGGGGCACTCGCGCTCTATTGCCGTTTTATTTGCTATTGACAAACTCCGTTTTTGCGCAAAAATCGTTTTTGCTCGCTCTTCTTACCATTAGAGGTGAGAAAAAAAAACGATACAACTATGGGCTATCGATAATTAGAAATTGAAAGAACTCTATCCGAACAGAACACAAAACTATCGATAGTTTCAGCGTTATTTGTTAGATAGAGATGGTAAAAGTTGTGACATTTGTCAGTGACTTTAACTTTTTAAGGCCATTACTCATCTCTAACTGAGAGCGACAGTGCTGCCAGATTGGCTCATCACCGTTAAGAAAAGTAGGAGGGCGGGAAGATTTAAAAATATTTAGCGGAAATTATAGAGAGAAGTTTTTTAACTTCAAAATTGCTTAAAATGAATAATTATAAGTAATTCTTTAGGTTCATTTACTTTTCTTTAGTGTTTGGCTTAACAATTATCCCAAATGACTTATTCCCAAAGCTCGGCGCTAATTACACCGCAAAAGCTAATAGTTGGTGAATGTTTGAGAAGGGGAAGCTGACGTCATTGCAACGTAACTCTTGGCGGCAAGATTGAGAAAATCTCAAAAGATTATTTTCGGCTTGCAACAGCTTTCCATTAAAAGTCAATTAGTAAGTGCAGTGTGGGCTTAGAGCTCAGAAGGGGGCGTGGATCTTAAATTGTTTTTAATGAATTATAATTTAGGCTCCCTTTAATCACTATCCTTTCGAGTGACATAATAATTGCCATTAATTACGAACCAGCACGAAGCATGGCTGCCTAACAACCACCCACCCACCCACAGGTTCCCCAAAAAATGCCGCGCTGTCTGAAAAAACCGGCCCGACAAACCCACTGACTCACTCATTTTGACTTTTGTACCTTTACCTACCCCCCCACCCACTGGGGCGGTGGGCTAATGAAGTTCGGGGTCCCAGGTCCCCTTGAAATGAACTGTAAATAACCGATTTTTTATTTATTTTCTCGTATTATATACAGCTGCGGTCAACGTAATAGCAATTGAGTCCCCAGTCTGGCCATAAATTAGCTAAAATATGTAGCTTGTAATTTATGGCAACTATAATACGTGAAATCATCCCTATTGCGAAGCCTGATAAAGAATATAAAGAATGATGGGGAGTATATGCATGGAGTCTCTTTTTTTTTTGCTGGTAATATTAAGTGGACTTAGTCAGTGACTATGGTGTTATATTTGTTTATTTATTTACATATTTATATTTTACATATTTATACTACTATGTAAAAATATATCATTCTCTAATAATTTTTCTAAAAATCTGCTATTTTGGAAAAACTGATTCAGAAAAAAATACTCCCTTTAAAGATAATCCTTTGTATTTATTTTGAATTAAACCCCTTAATTTAAAGAGTATTATAGGGACTAGTTCTAAAAAAAAATATATACATTATATTTTTATAAGAAATAACTATAAGATAATTCTAGAAAACCAGCTATATTGAAAGTCTTTTTAAAAAAACAATATTTTTTTTTCCTTTAACATAATTCTTGTCTTATGATATGGACTCCAAGTTAGTGTATTAGTAGTGACTAGTTATATTAGTGACTAGAATATACATATATATATTTTTTTTGGTATTTGCTTGCAAACTCAAAGCCGCAATGGCAGCGACGTCAACGTCGACTGCGACTGCGAATTTGTTGCTGTTGCAATTCAATCAATTCCAATCAGTTTGCATTTTGCATTTTGCTTTTGGCTTTTGATTTGCTCTAGCCCCCCATCCCGCCCCCCATTGGTCACCAACTATGTACGCGAAGAGTACGCAAAATTGACGTCAGCAATATTTATTTTTACTCATTTCGAGTGCGTTGGTGTTGGTGTTGCTGGTTGAGTTGTGTGTGTTTTGGGTTTTTTTTTTTTGGGTGAATCTTTGTCTAACCTGCCCACCCACCCACTCAGACCGTCACTCTTTCTAACGGTCTGTTTGCTTGGCTGAATTAATTAAAACTAAATGAATGTGCAATAACAACAACAACAACAACAAAGGAAGAGAAACAAAAACAAGAGAGCCACAACAGTTATTACTTGTCATGGACAAGAACAAGAAAAGACAAGAGTTGCAAGAGTTGTTTATGTGTGGGAGTGTGAACGGGACAAAGCCATTGACGACAGGTGTCACAAGTTTGGGTGAGAAGGAGGAGGGAGGCAGGCAGGAGCCACGGAGGGAGAGAGAGCAGACTGCAGCACATGGGGCCATCGAGATGCGGCTTTACGGCGGGATTATCAGAGCGACCAACCATTTTGATAATGCCCCACCCCCCCCAACCGGGCAACAGCTGTCAGGCTTACCCCTCTTACTAATGGTTTAGGAATGCACTAAGAGAAATTTTCGACTACCATTTAAAAGACTAAGATTTTTTTATAAAAAAAATAACTTGCAAAATAAAAACTTTTAATTAAATAAAATTTTTATTTTATTAATAATAATAATTCGAATTTTTTTCAGTTCATCGCACACTGTTATCACTCGAAATGGGGAGCAGAGCTTGCGTTATCAGCTTGGCGTAGTAGCCTGGCTAATTATGCACGGCCCTAACCAGTTGAGCTCTTTAAATGTACAAGATTAGCGGGTATTTTCGTGGAAAGTGCAGAGAGGAGCCCCTCTACTACTCGTGACATGGGTGTATGTACCTCCCCCCATTTATCTAAAAAGCCCCCCCTACACCTCACATACTATTTATTAGTCAGCGAGGTAATTTACGATCTTGAATATCTAAGCGATTTTTTATCGCAGTGTCAAGGCAATAATTCTTCGTTATGGCTTTATCGGTAGGCGTTTCTATGCCGATAATTTATTGATAAGGATAATCTTTTATATTATTATTATTATTATTATTTTTTTTTAATTTATTATAAGCCCTTTTTATAATATCCTAAGTTAAGTCACTGATTTGTGTTCTGTTTCTGTCTCTGTCTCACTTACTTAGTAGCTCTTCCTCATTAATGACCGTTTAAGTTTTTTGAAACTATTGGCTTTGCACTCACACCCTCTTGGCCCCACTATAGCGCTCTTGCTCTACTAAAAGATACAGTGGGGACTATTAGTATTAAAACAAAATTAAAAAAAAAAAAAATTATTTATTTTTTTGATTTAAATAAAAAAAATATTTGATTATAAAAAAATGATTTTTTTTTTATAAGTTTTTAATTTATAGCCACCACTGTATTTTTTTAGCGTATTTTCTGTTTATCGCTTACCCGTTTCAATGGTGAATTTTTTTTTTTTCCAACTCCAAGTCGGATTGTTGTGGTTGTTGTGTTTGTTGTTGTTATTGTTTGTTGTTGACGTTGCTGACTAATAACAATGAAATCTTTGCATAACGGCAAACAAAATCAGCGCGACTGTGTTTTCGCTCTGTCTCTTTTTGTTCACTCTCAAGGCAAGAGAGATAACAATACAAAAAAAAAAAAAAACTTTTGAAAAAAAAAATAAATCTTTTGCAAATTAAAATCCGAAACACAACACACACAGTGAAAAAAAAAGATTATTGTTGTTGCTGTGCATTTCAGCGATTACGTCAAGAATTTTGTTATTTTGCTGATTTGTATTTGATTACACGAACACACACACATACACATACACGGTCTATAATTATTTATATATGTTTTTAAAAATTAAAAACAAAAAATAAAAGCACACACGATTGCTTGCTCTCTCTCACTCTCAACCGGGTGGGTAAAAGGAATTATACCGTTATGGTTTTTGGCGCTCAAAATATTCGTCGTCACCTTTGGCTCTTGTTCTTGCCCGGCGACGTATATTGTTGCTATTACGCTCTATCGCTACCTCTTGGTTGTTGTTGTGAGTGTGTGGGTGTATGTGTCAGTTTCTATATAATTTTTTTTTTTTTTTTGGGAAAGCCGTTTAGGTGTTTCTCTACGTAGCCGAACTGAAACTGAAAAGCAACAGAAATGATGACTGACTGACGAAACGGCAGCGCCGGCAGCAACAGCGCGGCAAAAAGTGGGAGTCAGCGGAGAGCGCCTCCCAATCATATGCTCCCCCAGCTGTGGCGCTGCCGCTGCCACTGCCACTGCCGCTCTGGTGACGTGTGTCGCTGCTTTCCTACATCTCGCTCGCTCCCATAGCGGCACTCTTCCCCATTTATAGCCCCATCTCGTTTTTACTTGCTACGCGATTAGCATTTGTTTCGTAATTTCGAAACAACTTCTTTGTGCAACAAAAACAACAAAAAGAGAGAGAGCTTATCGCCACGTCAACGTCAGCGTCGACGTCGTTCTTTTTACTCACCTTTACGGCACACACTCTGACACACACATACCTACACGTACTGTCATATACACGCATACACTGGCAAATGCAGAAAATTGTATTTTTAAATACCGGGCCTCGCACTCGCCTCGCAACTCGCTGAGTTCATAGCATACTTTTCGGCGTTTGTTATGTTTTTTGGGGAGAACTTTAAAAATAGGGGGTTGGGTGTTTTTTTTTTAGTTTTTATGATTTTTAGAAAATCTTTTTTTAGTTTAAAATTTTTGTGAAACCCCCCTTTACTTTAATCAACCAAATATACCACTTTAAATATTTAAAATCTTAATCTTAAAACTAGTTAAATAGTCATTTTAAAAATAAAATTATCTAAAAAAGCACTAAACTTTAAAGTTAAAAACTTTCAAAAGAAAAAACTCCCCTTTTTGTTTGTATTTGTGGGAAAAACCCTCCCCACCATTGCTTATTACAGAGCTCTGATTTTTATCCCTCATTGCCTGGGTCAAGTCACGCCTTGGAATACCGTTATATTCACTTTTCTACTTTCCTCCTTACCTTTTTCCCCACCATCATGCCCCCCGGGCCTGTAGGGATAACATTTCACTTTGCCAACGCTGCGTATGCGTAATGTTTACTTTGGTTCTGGTATTTTTTTTTCAGTTTTTCCAAAAGCCTCCTGACACTTTATATACTGTTCGCCCCTCCACCACCCACCCATCCACCCATCAAACTAGTAACAAAAAAAAAAAAACTTTCTCCATGTCGCGTGTGGCTCACATGGCGTATACGCAACGTTGGCCGCTTTGCCGCTTTTCCTGCTTTTCCGGCTGCCCCTGACAGGTGAAATCCACTCAAAAGCAGCATTTAATATGATTTGAAACTGTGATCTGCTTGTGGCATTTATTTAATAGGAATGGAAGCTGTTCAGAGGCGCGTTAAGCGTGTATTTTGGGAAACCATTCTTTGGGGATAGTTACGGCTTAACCCACAACCAGTCCTCTACACTTTTCTTTATTTTGTAAAATTGTAAAAATATCATATTTTAAACTCTGATAATGGCATAATTAAGAAAACTTTTTAGAACAATGATTATGAAATTATTAAAGTATTTCAAACTTTTTTTTTTTTTTTGAATAAAAATAGTAGAAAATATGCTGGAAAATATTTAGTGGTAATTATCGGAAGCTATCTGGTGGTTTTTGTGAATAATTTTACAAATAAAGTTTGTAATTTGTTGGGAAAATGATGCAAGCCCCGTTGTGGGGTTAAGAGTTATGTGTGTGTGGGCGGCATCGATGACGCAGGATGCGGATAGTAACGGCAATAGCAACAGGCAGGAAGCAAACAATTCAAGTTAACGGAACCAGGAACCAGAGACAGAGTAAAGAAGCAAAAAATAGATATATATGTACATATATATATAAAAAGAAAACAAAGAAAGGCGGAAAATCGTAACGTCACCAGACACGCAGCACAAAGACAAGAAGGAGTATGGTGGGCGGGTCACATCATCAACAAGCTGAAGGTGTATTTACAGGCCAAGCCCTCCTCCTCTCACTACCATCCCATCATCCTGTCATCCCGCTCGCCCTCCCACTAACAACCGGCCACTGCAATGGCAACTGAAGAGCAGAGCAAACGAATAGAGGGGTGGAGGGGGGAGGGGGGCAGGAAAAGCGGTTTATGCGTGGGTCGTTTCGCATGCATTGATTGACAGCTCTGCTGACGATCCATCTCCGTCCCAGTCTCTCACTACTCGCGGCTTTGTCTCGTTCTCCCCCTTTTCACCTTTTGTTGTTGGCTGGTGCTGCAGAGAGAACAATAGTGGGGACTTTATGGAGGAGGAGGTTCTTGCATTATTTTGGGGGGTGTTTTATTAAATAAATGTTGTTAAAAGAAATCTAGTGGTTTTTAAGACTATTATTAGAATTTTAAAGTTCTCTATAAATTTTGGGTTTGCTTTAAATAAGGCATGGATTTTTAAAAAGAGAAATTGACTGTTTTTTATGAAAAGTATTAGTTATGCCTTTGCGACTGTTAAAGAAGAAGGTTTAAGCTGTATAAACAAAATTTTAAATAAATGTTACTCATCACTTTTTAAGATTTTATCAGATTATTCTATGATATTGATTAAACTGTTCAACTGTTCACAGTATTATTATAGTATAGTATACTTGATTTGATTACTTGATGGTAAATTTGATTATTTTATTTATTTTTAAAAATTTTTTAAACAAAAAATTTATGATAATAGAATATTTATTATAAGTTTTCAGGTATTTTAAGTCAAGATACACCTTATGTTTTTTAAAAATAAAGGCTTTAAATGATTTTTTTTGTTCTTATAATAGTAATTGATATTTAATTATATTTTATAATCAAAATAGTAGTTTTTTTAATCTCTCTTTTCTTTTTTTTTGTCATAAATAAAGAATTTTTATTTCTAAGACTATACTTCAAATGAGGAGTAAACCTTTAAATTTAGGATTTCTTTACAAAAAAAGTTATTATATTTATTTCTTTTTTTATTATACATATTTTATTAATTTGTTTAAATGATTCATTTTTTCTAGTGCCCTCTTATCAATGTCTTACTCCCGCGTAGATAAATCTGGCATCTTCTAGTTCAACTAAATCACAGAATAAACCCACCGGGCCCCACCTCCCCTAAACCTCCTTTAAGTTTAGGTAAACACGCCTCTCAGCCTACACCCACACACAGCGGCACACACACTGAAACATGTACACAGTGGAAAAATTGAGTTGACGCCTGGAAAGCAAACTTAAGCTGTCATCTCCACATGCCAGCTATGGAAAAGTCGCGAAGTGGGGGGGGGGTAGCAGGGACAGGATACTGTGTGTTCTTCTCCAAGGGGTCGGTCGGTCGGTCGTCCGGGTGTCATGTTTACTCGACGTTGCCACGCGACAACTTGTTGCACGTCCTGGCACCCAAAAAGATGGCAAAGAAGGAAGCTCGAAGGAAGTCGCTGGCAGGAAAGGAATTACAAAAATGGCAGAACCCGAAGAAAAGCCAAAAGAAAATCCGGCAAAATGTACTTAGCAGGCTAAGCTTTACTCTGAAAAGTAAATTAAGAAGCAACGCACTTCTCAACCAAAAAAAGGAAAACTAATTAAATAATAAAATTAATAAAAATAATTTTAAAAAAAATATATATATATTAAACCTTAAACCATTTTTATAATTTATTTCTAAGTGGCATAGTATCTCTTTGGGAAAAAAAGGCAATCAAAACATCGCACCGCCCCTCCAATATCTTAATGATTTTAATTAACAAAGTTTACCCCAATTCGGACTCACATCCTCACGAACTTGACCAGCTTGCGGCTGGTCTTCCGCAGCAGGACCTTACCAAGGGGCTGGCCGAAGCCCTCGAACTGCTGGTAGACGTGCAGGCCCCGCACCACCGTGGCATGCACCACCCCCCTTAGCCGCCGGCCGGCATAGGGTGTGGCCTTGGTGGCCGTGAAAAGGAGCTCTGGACCGACGGTGAACTCCTCCTCGGGACACCAAACACAAAAGTCGGCGTCGAAGCCCTCAGCGATGCGGCCCTTGAAGTTGGACACACCGCAGAGTAGGGCCGGCTCCAGGCACATTAATCGGTGGATGTCCGAAAGGGATATAGATTCTTTACCTGGAATATGGAAATATATTAAGAATTTTAATCGAAATGGCTATTGGTTGTAGTACTAGAAGCATATTTGGTGGGTCAACATGGCGTATACGTAATATTTTCATGGTTGGGATTGAAGCGATTATAGAAAATATAGAAATGAAAATATAGAAAATAAATACCTGGCATATAGAAATATATAAAGAATTTTGTAGTACTAGTAGTACTAGGATTATTCTTGATAAGTCAACATGGCGTATACGTAATATTTCCATGGTTTCTTGAGATCATGAAGGGATTAGGCTTTGGGATTAACTTTTTTGGGATTTGTAGGCTTCTTTAAAATTTTTAATGTTAATGTTATTTTAACTTTTAATCAGCAAGCTACTTAAAAGTTCTTCTTACAAGCAACAGGGCGTATACTTGATCTGAATGATAAAGGGGCGTATACTTAATATTTTTGGATTTTTAGAACTTTAAGAGTTAAGGGGCTGACTTCTAGGTTTAAGGTTTAACTTTCCTAAGAGTTTGGCTTAATATCTTGAAGATTCTTAATTTTTTTCTATTTTAAATAAAAAATCTTCCTAAAAGTTCTCTTCAACAGGGCGTATACTTAATGTTTGTGTTTAAATATACCTTACTCATGAAAATGTTTGTTTGGAAAATGCTTATAAAATTTTAACCTTATCCTTTCAGCTAGCCCTAACCCCTTAAACCTTTTAAAAGCATTAAAATAAAACCTAAACCAAAAACCCACATGTCGTATGAGTAATATCACGTATACGCCGCCTACCTTCACCACTCCTCTGATGACTCGCCGTCCATACCACCGGCAAGCTGAGCTGCAACGTATTAATGCCCGGCCAGGCCTTTAAGAAGTTGCCACGCCCCCGGCCGCCGGTGAGGCACCGAACGCCCGGCGTGGCCGGTGAGTGATCACTGGCAATTATCCGAATACCGCCATTGGGCTTCAATTCTGGCCACAGTAGGTCCTGATTGGAACGTTCACGAATCGGCGGCCATGTCTTGAATTCGGTGCCGCATTCTGGAATATCTTCGGCGCCCAAGGCCAAATAATGGGGACAAGTTTCGACGGTAAGATGGCCCCCATTTCGATGACATTCCGCCACCAGGGGGAGGCACTGGCCGCTGCTCAAGTTCAGGATGTGAATGCGACGCCGCGGGTGCCGTTGGCTCAGTCGGCACAGCATCTGCACGGCCGAGACCTCCATGTGGGGCGGGCGAGTGGCCAGAAATGTCTTGTACTCCCGAGGTGCCATCGACTCCGATTCGCTTAAACTTCCCGGTGTTTCGGCATGTACCTGAAAGTGAAAGCAATTTAGTGGGAAATCAGTAAGGACAAGGTAACACAACTCACTGCTATAACTGCCTCCTCTTCGTCCTTTAGCAGGTCCAGCACATCCTCAAGCTGTTTCTCGTTCACGGCAGGAAACTCTCCGGATACGGGCTCTGGTGAGCCGGCCAGTGTACACTGCAATCCCATGACACCGGCACCGAGGAGGGGTATCAACTGATCACCATTTCCGGGCACTACACCGCCCCAGAAGCCCACATCCACATAGATCTTGCCACGTGCCGTGGCGGTTTTGGCTTTCAAGCCTGCGACATTGACGGTCGGCGGTGTGGCATTCGTGGGTCGGTCTATAATCGTGGTGAACCCACCGGCAGCAGCAGCTTTGGTGGCTGCCACAAAACCCTCCCAATCCTTACGACCCGGTTCGTTGATGTGAACATTTGGATCGATGAGTCCTGGCATTAGCAGCAGGTCACCGAAATCATAAACAGCCTCGGATTCGGTATTGTACAGATAGGTGTTGACCTCTTGGGGGGTACGAAGGACTATAAAAATATAGGGGGTTTCACAGGAAATGAGGGTTTATTAAAATTTTAAGATTATTGAAGCTTTAAAAGCCAATAAAGTTGATATTAAGAAGTTAAAAAGGATTTTTTTGTACAGTACGGACACACAGACCCTGTGATAAAATAGGACAATGGGCACACTAAAACTTAGATAAATGGGCACACTGACAGACTATAAGCACATGAAATTCAGGGATGTAGGGAGAGATAGGCACTTCGATGGAGAGAAAAAGAAAGAAACAACCACACTAACGTAAAACTGACACATTGGCAGGCTTAAAAAACATATTTTCTTTAAAAGAATCATCATAAAAGGATATATAATACTTAGTAATATCATTTATATGATCTATTCTCTACTTTAAACTCAAAAACAAAGTTTTGAATAAAAGCCTTAAATAAATATAACAAATAATAAAAAATTTAATACTTACCCCTTCGTATAATACCCTCAGTATCCACTATAATACCACCATGAATGAGTCCATTTTGTTCGCCATCGCCCAGAAAAATGCGACGGCTAAGAAACAACAGATCCATTCTAAAAGCGGCAACCAACTGTATGAGTTTTTCCAACGGGAAACTCATACGCTTTTCCGAATTTTCTCACTCGCGGGTTTTCTCTATTTTTTCCACTTTCTATTTTCGGCGATCGAGAGACCCGGCAAGTCACTTTCTACATTTTGTTATTCGAAAATAAAATAATACCCTTTATGAGGGGTATGGTAAATATTTAAAATCTTAAAAACTAATAAGAGAATATGTCTTAAGAAGTGGCTTTAATATTTAAAAAATAATTATAAATCAACATTTTATATATTTAAACTTAAAATTTCACTTTTGAATAAAAATACCCTCCCTTCTGTAGGGTATTTCGAACATAACATAATATTTTTCATGGTTCTCTCTGAGTAATTGAATTTTCGATAGAACTTTGGGCACTTTTATTTTTATTTTTTTAGTGTTCACCTCTCACTTCTCTTAAATCCTTTCCAAAAAAAAAAAACCCAGAAAGAATAAAATAGAGAATAAGAGAAGAAAAACAAAAAAGCGGAAAAACTTTGTTGACCCGCACCGAGGAAAAGGCCAAAATCTGCTTAATGAAAATCTCTCAGTCGACCTGCAACCTCTGCCCCCCTCCTCATGTGTGTGAGGGCGGGCGTGGTGTGAGGCAAAACTTTATTAAAGTGCTCAGTAACTTTTTTTTGCCAGTTTTCCTATTTTCCTTTTTATTTCTTTCTTTTTTTTGGTATTTTTTGGACGCTTGTTCGTCGTTTGGAGATTTATTATTGTGTTTGTTTAATTTGTGAAAAATATTTTAATTGGTGGCGCCACCCATTGGGAGCTTAGCGTACTACTGGTTGCAATAATTCCACTACCCCCCTCACACACTCACAAACACACACATACAGTCGCACAAAATGAAAGACAAAAGGCGCAAACGAAAGCGAAAACCGAAAAACGAAATCCAAACCGAAAACGAAACGAAAACGAAACTGAAACCGAAACCAATAACGAGTCACAAATACATACAAACATTCTGAAAATGTGTGTTGGTATGTGTGTCGGCGGCGGGTGTGTGCGTGTGCTTTCAAGGAAGGGAGAGGGTATTCGAGAGCGAGCGGAAAAACGAATGCAGCCGGACCAGAGACGAATGCCGAAATAAAGTTTCAATTGTTGTTGTAGCTGTTGCTTTCTCTACACAGAGAGAAATTTCGCAGAGGATTATACAAGATTTGAGAGAAATTATTAAAAAAAAAAATTATTTTGAAGATTACTATTCCTGAAGGCTATACAATATAGGCTATAAAAGCACATGGCTTAGAGTCTTCTTAAAAAAAAAATAATTTTCACTAAAAAGCTTTAAAATACATATATCCCTAAAAAATGTATACATTTGTCATCTCAATAAACATTTCATTCATTTTCATTCTTTAAAGGAAAAAGTGAAGAATCTGTAGAGAAAAATTAGTATCTTAACATCACATGAAAGAAAAAATGTAAAAATATGCCAAAATACCAAAATATACCAAATTATGGTATTAGGATTATGTATAATATCTAAACTTATAGGCTATCCAATGGTGTTGAATTTAATGAATAAATTTATTGAAATGATTTTAAATATTTGGTTTAGAATTTAAGGTATAGTTTAAGAAATAAGAATAGTATTAAGGATAATAGTTTTAATAGTATTAATCATAGTAAAATAGTATCAATATTCTTGGATGATATTTTTTAGTAAAGCACTCTATTTTGTTAATAAAATTGCTGAAAAATGTTTACCTAACACTTTATTCTATGATTTTTTTTATAAATACTAAATATTAGTTACCTAAATTGAACTTCCAAAATTATTTCAAGCAGTTTAATACAAAACTTATGTTCGAAAACTCAAAAATGGGTCAATATATGAAGTATTCTTTCAAAAACAATTGATTTGGAAAGATAATATAGCTCTAACTCTATACTCTATTGCTTTTAAAAAAGAGCTTTTTTTATTTTTAGGCCTTTACCCCAATATATTTATATTTTTTTTACCATAAAAGCTGTCTAATTTATACCTCAAAGATTGTAAATATTCTTTCTATTAAAATCTATCTCTCTTATAATTTTTTTTTTTAGATACATTTTTTTTAGGTTCTTATATAATTTTTTTCGAGTGTATTCTTTTGGTCTGTTGCTGCTGGCAGATACACACGCACACACTTAACACACACACCACCAAAGCGTTGATGAGGCTGCACCCACCCTCCCTCCACCTACCTACCCGACGCCCCTGGTAAAAGCAACACCACCACCGGACTATGCCGGGCCGTTGGAGTTGGTCGCCGAATGTCCTTAAAACCGAATTCGGGTCTATCCTTCGGCTCTTGTGCTGCTGCCTCTGTTGCTGGTGTTGCTCCTTCTGCTCCTGTTGCTCCTGTTGATGTTGCTGGTTCTGGGTGTTGCTGTTGCTTTTTAATGCCTCGGCTCGAGATTTCACATCGTACTATATATCGGTTTCATTCTCGTATTCATCGTCGTCGCTGCTGGTCGCATCCTCGGACCGAGCACGAGACGAGTCCTTAGAGCGATTGAGTTTGCCAGGATTCACTGCTCTGGGCAGCATCGCGCCAACAAGTTGAACTCTCGGCTCTCGAGCGGAACATTTCAAATCAACAACAAAAACAACAACAACAAAAAAAAAAAACTAATCTAACAGTTAGCTTTTAATTCCACGAACTTAAAAAATTATTTAATTAATTTAAAAAAAATATATATATGAAAGTTTAAAGTTTTGTTAAAAGTGTTAATCCCATTTGAGAATCTGGTTTGTTTTCCTTAAAAAAAATATACAAAATATTTGTGTTTGCTTAAATTTTTTTTACCATTTTTTTTAAGCCATAAAAGGTGAACATAAAAAAGGGAAAAGACTCCTTTTTTTTTTATTAATATTTGTTTTGGTGTCAAAAGATATAAAAATAAAAAAATAATAAAATTGTGTTAAAAGACGATGTAATACGATGGTATTTTTGAAATGCAATTTGTCGGATCATAAATTAAACGGCCAGAAGTGACAAGAAGAACATTGCGCGAAACAAATCATAATTCTTTTTTTTATTCTATTTTATATTTATATATTATAGACCATAGACTTTGAATTTTTTTATGACCGGTCAGAAGCGTGTCGGAATTTAATTGTTTTCGTAGCAGCCGTGGGATTTATATATTCTTTTCAATTGAGGCGGGCATTGTTTTGCGGAATGAGTAAAGGGGAGCAAGGGGGGGTCGCCACAAAAAAGGATCTGTTGTCTGTTGTCAATTGAAAGGAGAATATAAGTCGACTGCTGTGATTGGATCCTGATGGATGCCATTGTGGGGAGTTGTGGTCGTTCTAGGGGGCTGGCGGGCTTTTGCCCAGATAGGGTCACTGATAATTGAGTTGGTGGAGAGGGGTATCCTTTGATACACCCACTGGGCCTCCAGGTTCCATTGTTTTATCGACAAATACAAATAATTTCACATTTTTATAAGAGAATTTTTCATACGCCTCTGGTGCATCGTAATCCCTTTGATTCATATTCATATCGGTGGTAATATTGGATTTATCATCGAGTTCAATAGCCATCGTTTTTTCCGAATATATTCCGAAAAACTGAAAAAAAACGAGATTAACGCACCGATGTCGATGTCGAATGATTTCCGAGTCCCTCAGGTGAAATAATTGCTTCTGCGAATTGCAATCAAAGTGCCAAACTGAATTTAAATTGAAATTAAAGTTGAAAACTACAAAGTTTTCAACAATTTCCTCACTCCTTACCCTAAAAAACTATGCAATACTTTTTTTTGTAGCAACTTTGAGGGTTAAACTATGCACTGCATTTATTTCAACAACATTGTGTCCCCAAAAAGTATGCTAAGAATTTTTTTCATTAAATTTTAGGCGAAAAGTAGGCAATGCATTTATTTCAACAACATTAGACTCCAAAAAGTATGCTAAGAATTTTGTATAATTTTTATACAATTATATAATATAATTTTAAATACCAAAAATTACGGTAAATATTTGTTAAGAATTTTTCTCAACAAAAAAATCGTTTGAAAGTGGGCAATGAAATTATTTCACCAACAATGCTACCTTCAAAAGTATGCTATACATTTCAAAACTCCAAAAAGTATGCAAGGATTTTTTTTAAATTTATTTTCACCAACATTAAAGCTAAAAAGCTATTTCACCAACATTTTAACTTTTTTTAAGGAAAACTAACATAGAAATTCTCAAATTTTTGGGCTTAATTTTTTTTTGTCAAATTTTTTTCGGTGCTCAGCTAAGAAAAGCAAAAAAAATAAATAAATAAAAGGTAAAACTCAGCAAAAAAGTAATAAAATAAAAGCGGACACGTCCACAAGAGGGCAATACAACCCACCAACAATAACAACCACAACAAGAAAACAGACTCGGGAGAGACGTGCAGTAAAGTGAAGTGTAGAGAAAAGAAGAGACGAGAAGGAAGCCAAAGTGTCAAGTAAGCAAACATTTAATTTTGATTTATTATTAATTTCCACACGTACACACACACACGCCGCACACACACACACGCCGCACACACACACACGCACGACACCCACACTCACAAAAAGCAACAGATATAGTAGCTTCCCTTGAAGCTTCCCATTGTCCACTCCCGTAAATCCCCACGATCCATATACTACCTCACAGCCACCGTCACACTTGATGGCTTAATGCTGGTTATTATTTTTACCGTTTGCTGGTGCTGAGCTGTTACCACCTGCAGCTATACAATAAATAATGCAAAAAGCCACTCGCCGCGAAAACATGAAAATGAAAATGAGTAAAATAATCAACCAACCAACAAAAAAAAAGGAAAAACAAAAAAGGTCCAAAAAGAAAAAGGCCAGAAAAGCGAGCAAGCAAATTATTGTAATTACTATTTTCCATTAGCAGCAAATTTTCGGCATTTTTCTTCAAGGAAAAAGGCAAGGCAGGAAAGTCAAGAAGACAACACAAAAATTGTATAAGATATAAGGTACCTATAAAAAATAAAATGTTTGATGGACAAAAAAAGAAAATTACCAAAATGCCGAAATGAAAATGAAAGTGACGGAAAAGTTGTGAAAATACGTGCGTTTATTTGCGTAAAAACTTGCAGTGTTTTTCCTTCAGGCTTCAACCTTACTCACTCTTACTCTCACTCTCTGTCTCTCTCTCTTCATTTTTCCGCTTTTCCAACTCATAAAAGGCGGCATTGAGGATTTAGTTGCCAAAGATAAAGGCCAAGCGGGAAGGGGAGGGGTGAACCGTCGCGTCCTTCCACCATTGCGACCATCCTTGTGTGCGGCTTAAATTTGGTTCCTAGAAAAAGTTTTAATCCAGCTTTCCCAGCTTTCCCCCCTAACCATCGCTTTTTATCGCGTGCCGGCCCTCCTGTTCTCTTCAAAAAAATTTCTTTTTGTCTCAAAATCTAACATTTTTGGGGTCGTTTGATATTCGTATCGGAAATGCCAATACCGAGACATTTATCAGAAGTATACTAAGGTACTTTTAGCTTCAGTGTTTCTAAACATAGGTGATTTTTAAGAATTGGCGTTTTGAAAACTTACATTTGTATGCCAAAAAGTAGAATATGAAAATGCCAATACCGCCACATTTATCAGAAATATATAAAAATTATCTATTAAGCTTCAGTGTTTACTGAAAAAGGTGATTTTCTCCAATTTCTATTCCCAAAAGTAGACGTTACAGAAAAAAAGTGATTTTACGGAACTGGCGATTTGAAAACTCCAATTTCTATGCCAGAAAGTAGACTATGTCATTTTTTTTTTCATTTAAACTATTAACTATCCACTATGTTAGCCTGAAACCAGTTGAAGATAATACTTTCCCATTTGATTCTGAGGACTTCAAAGCATAAAATAAAACTAAACTTAAGAACAGAATTTTTAAAATTTTTAGAGTTTTTAAATGGGTTTCTCCAAAACTCAGTTTCTACAAAATATCTTAAGGTTTCTTATAACCTTCTTCTATTATATATAACCTTATATTGTTCTATTATAAAATTTGTAATGATTTTTTGTAAGAAGTTTTTAATTTTAAACATTATTTCCATTACTTATACTTCTACTATACACTTTCTCCCCAAGAGCGAAAAAAAGTGTGTTTCAAAGTTGAGGATTTTTATTTTGATTTCTTTTGTTGATTCAACAGAGAGTCAGAGGATTTTTTTGTTTCATTTCTTGGGTTGCTTGGAATTGTTGCCTTGTTTTATGTTTATTTTTATATGACCGTTTTGTGCCTTTTGTGCGGAGAGCAGAGCAGAGCCTTTCTTTTAATGATGCCTCGCTTAAGCTCAAGGCTTTAATTGTATTGATTAAATGCTTAATTGTGTTGCCAGGCAATGCTCGAGACAAAGCCCGGGTCTTGGCTCAATCCCCGCTAAAAAAAGAGATATCTATACTATACTATACATATATATAAAAGAAGCCCAGAATCAACCGAGCGAGGGCCAAAGAAAAAAAAAGTAGAAGAAAGAACGCATTTAATTGTTATTAACAAGCGCACATTAATTACAATGATTAAAACCGGACTGGGCCCGCGAGAAATCCGTCCGTTTTGGATTCGAAGGAGAAGCCGGTTTTTGTGTCGTCCCCGCCGTCCCTGGCATTCAACTATAATTAGTTGGCTCAGACGCTCAGCTGTTTAATTAAAACTAATAGAGTTCCCTGGTCTACTTCCTTTTTTCGTTTCTTTCGTCTGTCCTTATACATATAGATTTTTTTTCCTGCTCGTTGCTCCATTCTACGACGCATCGTTGACAATCCAATCCGAGTTGAGGACAAACCGAACGTGAAACAATTAACGTGCACGACGACCAACAAGGACGACAATGACAATGCCAATCCAGAAGCAATGCCAAGGCGACAGCACCACAACAACACCAACAACAATTACACCAAAAAGTATAACAACAAAAACTTCACCAACAACTACACCAACACATCATAAACCACACTACTAGTGCCAAACAAAAACAACAGCAACACCCATCAGCCACTAATGCAAACAATGACAAACAACAACAGCACACAACAGCACACAACAACACACAACACACACCAACAACACCAACACACAAAACCAACAAGATCCTGCCTTGCTGGCCTTCCCACTCTGGTCCTTACAGCCTCGATGCCTCCAATACCCTTGAGCCATGATTACATTTCGAATTGCCATCTAAAATGGAGATTTAGGCATCCAATACCTTTGACTAAGTTTAATAGGCCTAGATAATTGGAGCTACTAAGTCAAGCTATAGGTTAAGCTCAAGCCCATGGAGCTGCTTGGGGAGTTGTGGTATGGATTTCTGAGATTATTATCCTACTTGAAGTTTTAGGACGATAATAGTGAGGTTTAATGTGGTGTAACTAATTAAATGCTTGTTATGATAGGTTTTAAAAGTAGTTGGGGGCACAAGGTTTTGGATTAAGGAACCTTAAAAGATCTTAAAACAATTAAAACTATGAAATTAAAAGAAATAAAGAGACAATTTGGAAGAAATAATAATTCTTATAATAATGAGCTTCACTTACTTGGGAATTATAATCAATATATCAAATTTGAGTAGATAATTGTGATCCACCTGAAATAGATTGGAAATAAGATAAAATAAGATTAGATTGGATAAGATTGAAAATAGTAATATTTATTTAAAAAATGAAACCTTCAAGGCAGATCTATGATATTCCAACTGTTTTAAATGTCAGAACCACTTCTGTAATGTTAGGAAGACTTTTTCTCAAACATAAACTCATAAAAATGATGTTTCAACATTTAATAAGCACTAAACAGATATAATTTTATAAACTAACAATACTATAAATAAAAATATTAATTTAATAAAACTAAACCGATATAATTAAAAGTAGAATACACTACATAATCAAAACAATTTTAAAAACTATTCATATATCATTAAATAAAAGCCCTAAGATACCCAAAATTTTGACCTCTAAACCCCAAAGCCCTCTAGCTCAAGATATTAAAACCCGAAAATAAAACCAGTAATCCGCTGCTTAACTAAAAGTCAAGTTAACCAACAAGTAGAATATAAACATGGGGATAATAAAGCCAAACTAGTTGCCTTTATACACAATTCTCAGGTATTACCCAACACACAATTGGCTTCGAGACCAGGACAACCTGGATACCAGGGTAGCAGCAGAACAAAAGCAAAGCACAAGCATGGTAAAAGCAAAGAAAAAGCAAAGCAAAAGCATAAACAGATGCGTTGTAGTTGTAGACCGAAGATTTGCCGACAGATAGAAATTTATGGAGTGCCATAGCTTGGCATGTCTTGTGTCCTTTCCTTTCCTGTCTTTCCCTCCAAAAACCTCAATCCTCTGGCCAAGGCTGGGTGTGAATGTCTGTCTGTGGTCTGCCGACTGCCGAGCTGGACAATCCTGAAAGGTGTCTGGCCCAAAGAAGGTGGTCCTTTCCACAGGAAAGTGTCTGGTACTGAGACGTCGTCCTCGTCCTCGTCCTTGTCCTCGTCGTCCTCGTCCTTCTTGGCTTTAACGTAATTAGGCTTTAACTTTGGCCGCTGAGCGCATTAGCGTTAAGTAAATTTCCCACCATTTATGTTTAGCAGGCCGGGCAGTTAGCCAGCCGGGGTGGACACCATGGATGGAATGGAACTTTCCCATTACGCAACGCCTTATGTGGCATTTGAAGAGGGTTTGTGTCCGGCCTTAATTGCGACCCGAATTTGGTTTCGTAATTGTCATGTCATGCGGATGTAAGCGTGGTGATGAAAAATAATGCTTTTTCACCAAAAAAAAACAGAAAAACCAGAAAAACACGCTTAGATATTAATATAAAAAAAAGGAGGCACCAAAAAATTAATTCGATGAGAGGACTCTTTCGGTTATTCGGTTAAGGACCAAATGTTATATTAAGCCCTTTAGGTGAGAGGTTGTTCGAATTAGGCCCAAAATGTGCTTCATCATGTCACCTTTTTTTTTGGTCAAAATTATAACGAGGTTTTATTGGCTTTTGAGGTTTCGAAATGTCAAAAAATTCATTCATTTTTTATTGCTTTTTTTATAGAGTTTTGGTGGATATAATATAAACCACTTGGAAATTATAAGAAAATTGGGAAATATATCAAAAATAATACTATTTTAAAATATAAAGAAAAATAACTATGATAATAATAGCTATACAAATTTGTGGATTAAAAAGATCCACTCCTTGTCTTCTTAACAGCCACGGATTAGTTCCCAACTAGTTAAGAATTTTAATAAAATTACTAAGTAATATAAAATTAATAAATTTATTAAAGGTTTAGTAAATTTGTTCATTAAAGTTTTGTAAATATTTAAAAGATATTTAAGAGAAACTCTAAGAGTTCTGAAAATTTATAGAAAAAGTTACTAACCATTTTTTAAGGCCATGAAAGTAATAACTAAAGAGTTACCTTATTTATAGTCTACTTTAAGGCTTGGAATC